CTTGACATGTCTTCATCTTTGTTGTGGACGTTCACCACCGTGTTAAGTTTGAATGCCACCTAAATTCAATTACACAATATTTGATTTACATGATATAGAGGCTTTGCACCATCACGTGATGGCTGCCATGACAGGAGGCACAACAGTAAAGCCTTTTCCCCCTGGGAAAGTGAATCCTTTCTCATATGTAAAAGAGACCTCTGCCTCCTGTCATGGCTGCCATCACGTGATGATGCAAAGCCTCTATTCCTTAATAATAATCTCATATTTGTTAATTTTCGCTGCGCTCGTAATTCCACTTGAGTTTTGAACATTTTAAGACTTGACCAATAAGAGGACAGTCAATGGAAATCTACAACCGATTTGTTAATACACCGACCCCACATTCATTGTTCTACCTGTTGCTGCTTCGGACAAGCTAAAATGTGTCTTTGACATACGACATGGAACAGAAACTGATTGCTAAAAAAATGCAGATGTCTGTTTTAGAATAGATGGATTCTAAAGGTACAATAAGAAAAAATAGATAACTACGACTAAAAATAATGTTATGAATTGATCAAGTTTGTTGGTCGGATATTCTGTATTCCATTGGGAAAACTACCCATTGTTTGGCTGGACACTCAAGCAAAGCCGGGATCGATCTATTCTACCTCGAACTAGAAACTTCCTGTGAGGCTCCTCTGAGTGCCTACTAAATATCACTATCTTCTCTCTTACTGTTCACGTGACCACGATGTATCACTAATGTTTTTGATAATAGTAATCAAGATATTTTGTTTCAGGCTACGGCTATGCGGTGACCGCAAAGAATGAGTGGACAAAATCACCGGCCCTAAACCATTTTTGGAGAGAAAAACCAAGCAGACATGGCGGTAAAGTGAAATTGTTTTTATTCTTTCTTTTAATATTTCTGCTTCTTGAATGCAGGTGTATTATATATTTTTTAGTCAAGAGAAAACAGAAAAAATACCCAAACGTTGGATTACAAAAGCCTGAAAATCAGGCTCGGCAGCAAAACCTCTAAACASGCTGTGATGCTGTAACAAATTTCACCGCTCAGCTGGAGGCGGCGAGAGGCGGCATATTAGTAGAGCACAAGCAACTAGTCGATCATGACCACTTGCACATACCTTATATTTAGCACACCAGTCACGAACTCGGTAAAGGCTTTCCAAGTGATTTTTCTTTCCTTGCTGACGTCCAATTATCCTATTGGTTTCCTCATCGAAACTGTCACATGACACCGCAAATATATCCAGGTACTCTCCTGTCAGATAAGAGATCAAACAGTTTACAGTTTACGATTTTATTTTTCGGTGATCAATTATTCCAGCCTTCATGACACCTCGATTTTGCAGTGACGTCATTTCTACGTCACTATCTCAGATCAGCTAGGTCATGGGAGCAGTAAAACTGTGAAAACCTTACAACACATTGCTTTAGTCAGCAGATTCAACAAAGCGCCTTCGCATTCACCCATATAATAGGTTCTCATGTTTGCGCCTTTAGTCGGGGAGTACAGCAGCGCCGTCCCGTCTGACTGCGCATAATGCCATATGACCGTCTCTCTGTCAATGGAGCTCAGTCCACAGAGTGTTTTTGTGGAAAGTAATTAAATATCATATTTTCAAAGCGCTGAATGACATGAATACTACTTGGGGRAAAAAAAACCTTGTCATTGATAAAGGCGATAGGTCTGGGATACAAAGAAATGGTTTCGTCGACTACAAACAATATATTGAATCAGTCTCAACACTAAGGTCTATGATTTTGACGAGAATAAGAAGCAGAAACACAAGTCATTCCAGCTATTCTTGGATCTTGCAATGACCTATCTCCTATTGCTTTTCCGCGCCTATCGCCTATTGCCTATCGCCTGTTGCATATCGCTTGTTGCCTATCGCCTAATGCCTATCGCCTTTGATGATGACAGTGTTTTTGAAATAGGTGTATATGAAAATTAAAAAAAAAAAAAAAAAAAAAAAAAGACTGAAAAAGACCTGTCTGAAAGAAGTATAACTGCAAAATGCAACTTATTAAAGAATTAATAGAAAAAGTCTGTTTTTTAAAAGATGAAACGGTCGCCAAACAGTCTTTTTATCTTCTAGAATTTCATTCCATAAGGAAGATGCAGCTTCTAGGAAAGATCTGCCATCATAGGTCTTGAGATTGAAACATGTAAGTATATGCATGTGTCACAAGTTATTCTTTTGATTAAAAATAATTTGCTTCCGTTTTTACTTAGTGTTAGTCAATTCCCCGCACCCTGTTCACGTGATACACCCTCCTCTGGTTATCACGCATTCACTCGGATAATATTGAACAGTACACATAATTCAGTTAAAGTTAAGGTAAACTTTATTTAGGCAGGGTGGCCCATTCAGCAACCAGAGGGGCCCTGTTAACGTGTGCCCATTGTTAAAACCTCTGTTTTACTTACCGTATGTGTCGAACCACTTTTCTGTGACTAGACTACCATTGCTAACAATGCTGACACTTGGTAAACATAGGTCTTGCTTGCAATACTGCACTAGTTCACCCAAGAACTTGCCTCTTTTGTAAAGAAATGGCTCCCCACCAGAAAAATTGATTTTTTCCATTCCTTAAATATAAAGGAAATAAATCTAGCTAAAATGAAATGTTTTCTGTCAAGTTAATGAGCTCCTCGTCGGCATATGTTTGACGAAGAATTTTCTCAGTTTTACCACCATAATATAAACTTTCTTTTTGTGATGAATACAACGGCGTAATCAGTAATACGTACACGATTTCGTGTCTCATTTCAAGAAGAAAAAATGGTTTATTTGTATGCGTAAATCTTTATTTCTATCATAGTTAAGAAGAATATATTTGAGCTATGTGTGAATTTGGACCAATAATTTAACTCAGTAGGAAGTAGCCGCTAAGATCGCCACAGAAAGCCCAACCACACACTGACRCAAGATGGTAATGCTGTGGTGAAACCTGCATCCATAGTCTCTTCGATCCAAATGATTTCAAAAATAATAACACTTTTTATTAAGATGAGAAAACAATATTTGATATGAAAGATGAAAGATAGGGAGCAATATTAGTCTTTAGTGAAAAAATACACAGGTAATTATTGAAAATCTCGCGCGCTGATTGGTCGAGAAACTCATACTATCACACCATAATCGCCTCCAGCGATAATCCGGCTAGCCGCTTTGTTGCTGTTACCGGAGAGGAATTAGAAATAGTGAAAGAAAATGCTGTCCCCAAAAGGACTAAAAAGGCTAACAAATTTGTACTAACTTYGTTCAAAGGTAAAAAAGGACTTAAAACAATCAAATATCAAACAAACTGTATTGATTCGCAAAGTCGGTGAGTTCGCCTGTGTTGTAATTGACCTAATTCACTATGACGTCACTGCTTGTTTATGTCGGGGATAGCATCGCCAAATCCAATAGAAAATTCAACTAAATTTGCTCCTAGCGAAACAGTTTAATCTAAAATGGCCTGGTTTTCAGATATAATGTGTGTTAATATGTACTAAAAAATATTCTGAGCGTTTGCTGGCTATTCTACTTCTCTTCGTGGAATGATACGGGATTTAGAACAATTTTCGGTGAAATTTGYGTTGATTTGACCCCGTCCGACGACCATGATCCTTTGCGTTTAAAATAGATTGTTGAATATTGTTTTGATGTGACGTCATAGTGAAGTAGGGCAACTGAAAGCCGCGTTTGTCACTTCAATTAAAATTTTTCCTAACTTTAAATGTGTCTTTTATCTTCTTATTTTTTCTTTTTTTGAAAGAATCACCTGTGTATTTATACTAAAACAATTATTTGTCTCCGCCTCAGTGAATATCGGAGAATATTTACCTCGCCGCTCGAAGACTCGCGTCTCGGTAAATATTCCCCGATATTCACTTCGCCTTCGGCGAATAAAAAGTATCCCCATATTCCGCCCTTTTCCAATTGGAGTCACCAAACCCCCTCCCCGGCGGGGACTTCCTTTTGTGCTAATATTTTCTCCAGAATATCCATGTTATTGAACGAAAAAATAATAATTAAAAACAAAACAAAATAATCTAGTAAAAATGCTATCTTACAAGAACTGTTAAATAGCCAAGGTTGAAGATTTCATACTTYGTGTAAGTCTCGTCCACCAGCGTGACGATCACATACTCGATTTTGATTTTACCAAACAGTAATTATTTTCAAATATTTTCTGAACAAATTGGGTTATCCGATCAAAACTTTGACAAATTGCATTGTTTTCTTTCCATGGTAATAGAAAAACATCTGGATGTTTATAAACATCTTAAAGATTTTAGCTTTAGTAAACGATTTTCGAACGTGTGGTTTGGCGTCAGTTTGTTTTTAATAATCACGCTAACTTTTGAATGTCTATCGCGAATCCATGAATTTCTATACATTTGTGCTGTTTCCGTTGTCTATAAAAGCTGATTATTGCATTGTTTCCTTCCATGGTAATAGAAGAACATCTGAATGTTTAAACATTTAAAAGATTTTAGCTTTAGTAAACGATTTTCGAACGTGTGCTTTGGTGTCAGTTTGTTTTTAATGTGAATAATCACGCTAACGTTTGAATGCCTTTCGCGAATCCATGAATTTCTATATATTTATGCTGTCTCCGTTGTCAATAAAAGCTGATTATTCTTCAAATATTAAATGACCTTATTTTAAAATATATTTCCTTTCAGCTTCAACTTTGTATTTAACTTGTTGTGGGCTTATTCATTAAAATAACTCCTCTAATTTAGTGGTGCTATCGGTATTTTTGCTCATATTTCCGGKTTGTTTGGTACGTGGCTTTATTGTCGCGCCGAACCTAAAAACTGCACTCTTAAAGGCTCGACCTTTTCGTTTTCTTCATATAATGAAGAGCTGATAGTCTCAAAATAATAGTATTTCCAGACGAAATGCCTTGCCATGGCAAGACAAAGCCTTAAGAAGTTGCTGGTTATTAGGTTCGTCGCGACGATAGCGCGACTCATGAACTGGGCCTTAGTGATTGTCGACGGCTAAAGGCGGTTGTGTATCTTAGGGATTTATAAACTAACTAAAGGTTTAAATACCTTCTTCCGTGAGCATTTTTAGTCCTTTCTTGGCATCTTCCAGTGGTAAAACAAACGATGTCTTGGCAGTATGAAAGCAGAAGCCACAATGATAGTTGCATTGTCTAGTAAAATGATAGTTTACGCTTAAAGGTTTCATGTTCTCCTGCACAATTATGATCCAAAAGCTGTCAAAAAAAGAATATTTTTGATTTTATAAACGATGCAAACTAAAATTACATTGCATAATAGATAAGACTCTTCTACTACCGACGCTTATGGGTATTTTATACAAATGTACAATTAAATATGAGGYAACGACGGCGATATTTCCAAGAATTCGATTACCACCTGTCCAACTCATTTGAAAATAAAATTAGGTAATATATATTAAAGTAACAGCAAAGGATGTTGTCAGAGGCTTACCTGTGCTCAATACTTTAGTCCTGCTTACAGTTTTTATAAGTCAAAGGGAATCTAATACGCTTAAAGATAAATGCGTTGGCAAATTCTTCACCTTTTTACCCTTCTATCATGGCCGACATACGTATTCAAAAATGCTAAACGAACGACCCGTGAAGATTCATATTTCTCGGAATTGAACTAGGTCACCTGTATACTGAATTGACATTTAAAATTTACTCAAGTCACTTGTTTGAAGTTCCCATCAACGCAAAACAAAAGAATTGTCCACTCTACAAAATGGTTTATTGATTGGTCGTACTAGATGCTGGTTATATGACCAGACTCTGGTATCGTAGGACTATTTCAGTAGTTTAAATTTCCAAGTTTGGGATTACCATTTCAATAAATATTTGAAGTTGTTTTTTAGTTGAACTTCAGTCACGCTCTAGTATAAGCCGTTACTGCTTCTAGGTTTAAGGACGTTCATGAGCATTGTTTAGTCGCGGGCATCACTTAACTATCTCTCATCTCTCTAATTCCCTTCAATTAAAACGAACAGCTGTGTCAAAATAACATCAGAAATAAAAAGAAGCACTTCGATATTAGAAGGGTAGCGGAGTCTTAGCTCATAACAAGCGAAAATGGAGAAATGGCATTAAATATAAAATCAAATATTCTACAAGTATTTGTATGCGAGAAAATGCCGGATGGCAAGCTTTTTTTCCTTCAGCTGTAGGTATTGAAAAGTGCTTCAAACTCATCAGTTTTGGGCGACATCCCGTTAAGAGAATCAGGGAATTTTATGGGTCGGTGGTGTCTCGTGTCTCGTGTCACAAACCACACCTGGTTGTTTTTGAAGTTTCCAACTATTTTAGCGCGTGGACAATCGAAAATGTACACATAACGTACGAATCCTCCTGAGAAACTGTCACTTCTCGTAGTATTTACTAAACTTTTTTTTTTTTTGGTAAAATTGATGTTTGGTTGTAAAATCGTTTACTCTTTTTCAACCTGCCAAATATGGTTAATAATGTCTGTCAATATCTACTAAGACAACTTGGTAAACAAAGAGACCAAGTCCTCCAAGAAAAACCCTTGCAGTTTGGGTTTACAATCTGATCTATCATTTTATATTTAAGATGGCATTTACGTGCAGACGGGCGAGAAAAATAGTGATGAGTAGAGAACTGTCTAAATTTATAATAGACTTGTGCCTACAGTTCGTGTAAAACAAAATAGTCCGGAACAACTATAGGCTCAAAATCTTGATAAATAATGTCTAGTTTACTATAAATTCTAAGAGTTTACTTTAGTGTTCTGTATAATAAAATGATGTTGATAAGTCTGAAAGTAAATAAACTTATTGTGAATGTGGCGAAGGAACTTGCAGTTCGAATAGAGAAACTTTATACGAAGAGAAAAATGCTTAGAAATATCATCTTATTAGTTGTTCTCCAGCTTTCAGTGCATTTTAACTATCTATTTAAACGATTTAATATTAAAATAAAACTATTAATAAGGAGAGTTTACAGAATTTCTTACCTTTGAACTCAACTATCTAATCCTGATTCAATATATGGCCGCCTTTGATAACCACGCCAGAAAAGTATTATGGGACGTTACTTTGAGAAATGGATGATCAGGAATGGTTTAAATTGTGTCTGTTTTTCTTAAGTTAAAACAAACCTCTGCTCTAGGAAATATTTATTTCAATTTTTAACTAATTATTTAAGGGCAAACTTTATGGCTGATTGTTAATCGTAAATACACATCTTAGGTTATTCCTGAAAATGATTTTCATATGCAAACCCATTGCCATGGTAACGGATCCGGAATTATGAGTTATTACGAGCACTACACATTCCTGAACCATAGTTTGATTTAAAGAAGACGAATTCACCCGGAATGCAGTTATCTTTCCAGGAATATTAAGATTTAGATATACTTAATGGAAAAGACTAAGCAGAATATGCATTTTAATTTCAAGGAAGAAGTCACCACAGTGACATAATTAAGGTTATTCTATATCAATGAGATATAATTTATCTGAACAATTTTTTTTTTTAATCTATCGTGTCTAAATAAATACTATTATTAATAATATTATAATCTTGAATAAGGACATAAAATTGATTTTTTTAAACCCGAATTACATTGAAAACCTCCTTTTTCCAACATTGAGCATTATGTCAGTGGGACCTGTTGCCATGGAAGCCAAATCTTAAATTCTGACAACCCATATGGTTAGCTTATGACATAACAAATACTTGTTGCAAATATGAATCAGTTTCGTCGATGTTTGTTAGAGATATGGGCCATGTTTTCAAGAAAGCAAATTTCTCCTACCCCACCCCCCATGTAAACAGTCCATTATCTCGTTCGCGCTCCAGTATCAAACTTGTAAACAAGTGGATTCTAAAGTACGGGCCATGAGCTTTAATTTGATACTAAATTCACTTTGTTCTATAAGGGGTGCTACGAAACTCAATTTTTAATAMTTTCATCATTTTTTAAGTTGACCCCAATCTCGTACCCAGAGTCTTCCAGCGCCTTCGTGCTTTGGTCAAAGACTCATAGGGACAACTGTGAACAATAACAGCTGCTGCAAAGAAATTATGATCGTTGAAATTAATTGAAATTTGAGCTGCAGATAATTGAAAGTTGCTGCAAATTGATAAAATATAATTATGAAAATTAAAAAATTCAATGAAAATTAAACATAACAGAATACAACGTTTCGATTAGTCCATACTGAAGCCATTGTCAAGTTAAGACAATCACTGATATGTGCATATTTAGAGATATAAATACTAAGTAAAGAAAACACTAAAAGGTATTGATCTTAGTATGAAAGATWTTCAGTTCTAAGTGAATATTTTTGCTCTTAACGATTCAGTTTGCACATTGAGATCCGGTTTACGATCTTTTATAATCAGCATCATTTCAAATATCGAACAGTCTAATCGACTCAGGTTCTGCATCTCTTCAGCAGCATTTTAAATTTCTTACACTTAGATGGCGGCCAAGACCGTGTTTGCTGCGTATTTGTTTATCGATGGAACTTGTCCGCTGTTGGTGTTAACAAAAATTGTTGCAAATAGCTGAAACGTTGCTTAAACCCACCCCTCTATAGTCTTAGGTTTTAATCCAATTATTCTAAGCCTTTCCGCTTCATTCGTATTTTCCCCTAATAAATTCAGAAGCTTTGTCACTAATTCGATTTTAAGAGGAAAAATAATTGAGTAGCATAATCATCAGCGATCTAGAATGTTGACAGTCCCTCTTTTTCTCTCCTACTCAGTATAGTCGAGTCGATTTAGTTCCCAAGCTTTTCCCTATCTTGGTCGCGCGAAGAGTGGGGACGAGTGAAACAGCACACGAAGAGTGGGGAGAGCATTGTTGTACCAAGACCCTACTCGTTAGCCACTAATACGTAGGGTCGACTGGGTACGAGAATGTTGGAGAGAGGAAAAGTAGGAACTGTGCGAAATTCACATTGGTTGAAAATGATAGAAATGCCGTTGAACGCGGCCGTCGCTAGCTGTCATGGTGTACAACTGTTACTGGCATACCTGCGATATCGAATGCTCTATAGTATCCCAGTCGTAAAATACCTTTGTTTTTCCCCGTCCTGGTTCCTACCCCAGAAAATGGAAAAGTTGCGCAATCGATTCCCTGGAGTATTCCGAACCTTACCCAATAGACTTTTGCGGGCTTTTGCTAATAGACTTCGAGTAATTAGCATATACCAGCTGTCAACAATGAAGGCATTGTCAAAATGATTTTTTCAAGTGATTATAGAGAAGGCGGAGCTAGCTTATCACTTGWAAAAAATTAATTTATACGCATGCTCTTTCGTTCGTCAACTACTGTAATTTAACATTGAAGAAATAGAAAACGCGCGCGCGTGCTGTGTGCAGTTATAAAGCATGCGGGGTTGGTAGAACACGAGAGAAGTGTTTGGAGAAGCACGACGCGTAGCGGAGTGCTTCTCGACACTTCTCGAGTGTTCTGCCAATCCCCAAGTGCTTTATAACTCCACACAGCACAGCAAACAAGTTTTTTATTTCTTTTATAAAATGCAAAGGGCGCGTGCGTGCTGTGTGCTCTCATAAAGCACGCGCTCCCAACCAATCAGAATGCGAGATTTATAACAGTTATTTTATAATTTAATTTCGAAATATATTTTTCAAACTTTACTTATGCGTACAACTCATCCTTTTTTTCTCTATCTTTTAACACCGCGGTTGTGTGAACAACATTGCAGTAAACGCAACGTTTTGATGCAACTCAAACACCTGCAAATCTGCAAACAACTCAAACAGGGTATGGAAGGGTATTTGAGAGAACCGGGAAACGGATAAAATATAGCGCGGGATGCGGGAWACTAGAAAAACATCTTACATGATTCGGTCAATGTCCGGGATGCAGGATGTTGCTTTCTGATTATCTGGGGGRAAATATTGATAAATAAAACAAAAAGTCAAACGCCTTTGAATATGTTAAATTGGGTCGTCGCTTTAAATTTTCGCGGGACACGGGATTTCGACACTGCGATAGCGTGTGAACAGGGATCCGGACTCCCACTTTCAGACCCTGCTCAAGCTTCTGTAATTCACTGTCATGCAATATTCACCTGATGCTTGAAAAAGTCTGTTATTTTTCACTATATTTTTATAACTATTTAACTGTTTGATAAATGTTCTGTACCTATTAATGTACTTTCACTTTCATGATAGTCTACTTAACTTAAATAGCTTGCTATCAATAGACGTCACTTCCGGTAATAGCTGTGTTTTTGATGGCTTGTAGAACTTTGGAGGTTGTTTTGATCTCTTGTTTTCTGGTTTGATCTCGTGAAAATAGTCAAATACAATAGTTTGCGGACTTATTTTGACATGTTTTGACTTAACAACCGCTACTTGCCCCCAGTCAACCGCATGTTTGCCCCCCAGTCAACTCCAAAAAGTCGAATTTTTTTCCATCGAAGTCGATCTTATTTGGGGATATCCTCCCCCTCCTCCCTCCATCAAAATCAAATGTTTCGAGTTGTCTGGAGTCGTTTGCGCCGGCGCCTGGATATTCCTCCAATAGACCGTTTTCAGCTCAAGGTTGCGTGCGCATCCAAACTTTAGGTTGACGGGCCACGATACCAGAACACGAGCATTGATGGTTTTCACGTCGGCCATGTTGGAGGACTTTAACAAAAGAATTGTCAATGAATTATTTTGTCATGTCCTCCAACATGGCTTCCGTATCTTTTGTTATTTAATTCTCTTGGGAATTTTGAAAACCATCAATTATCATGCATAACATCGATTATTCCCCTCTTTAAATATTAAAAAAACTGTCCTCTCTATTTTGCTGAAAATTGCGTTCCTTGAGAAAACGGTCTATTCAATGGTTACCTACATGTAACTCACTTCATGGGTTGCCTGTGGTTAAGTTACTAATTAGTATAGAACATTCCGGTGATTGACAGAACTATGGCAAAGAATCAAATCCGTAATACTATATAATTCCATCTCGGTTTTCTGCTTGATAACGGTTTTTCCCTTTCCAATGCGAAAAAAACAGCGTTTTCCACAAGCGTGAGATGACTGGGCTCATTTTTTGGTAGGATGAGATTATGCTAACCTTAATGTGACGACTTGGCTATGTATTTGCATAATCACTCATTACTAATGAGCATTGAAAAGGATTCTTTGAGGTCAAATTAATTCATGCGAGTTAACACGTTAAAGGCGAAATTTAATCAACGTCTTACGATAAAGAATTCAAAACTTATCAATATAGGAATAGTTTTACTGACTTCAAACGAGTAAAAGTTCAAAGAAAAAAGCAAAATCTTGAAGATATTGGCTCCGGAATCCTGGAATGTCACCTTTTCGGTGTTGCTAAGCTTCGGCGTCCTACAGCAAGAATACCTTGGTGATAAGGAATCCAAGCTGATTCCAAAGAATTATGACGAACAAGGACTACACAAACCTAAAGGCATGACTTAATTCAATACAAATTCAAAGTTTACTTTAATAACAGCGAATGATGTGTTAAATCCGGACTTCAATCACATCAAAATCATGAAGTGAAGGTTAAACTGCCCCGCACTGATTAACAACGAAAGGCTTCGTTTGAGTGTTGGAGAACAGCTTTTAATCGACGAAAAGAGGAACAATTTACTAATAATTTACACTGGAATTCTACTTTCAAGTCCATAATGAAGTCAAATGACTCATGGCCAGAAGGATTTGGCTTCACGATCGGAGGCAAAGCACCCGTGGTAATACTGTCACTTAAAGACAACTCAGTAGCTCAAAGAGCTGGTTTACATCCTGGTGATCAAATCCTTGAACTAAACGGAGAAAATGTCCAGGGACTAAATAAAGAACAGATAATTCTCCTAGCAAAGAGATCGACTAGGGTTCCTCCGGCTATAGCTGTAATTTCGCGTATTCGAACCTTTGATTTAAGACGACGAAGAGGAAGATTTGGTTTCACTCTTCGGGGCAAAGGACCTGTTTACGTTTATGATGTCGAAAACAAAAGTCCAGCATACAATGTGGGGATGCGATCTGGAGATTTAGTGCTTAAAGTCAATGGAGTGAACGTTCGTCATGCTAATGCTGATCAAGTCCAGCAGATCGTTGAGGCATGTGGACCTACAATTTCGGTTGTCTTGATAGCTGGATCACAGTCAATAGCAGTAAATGACAAAACTTCGTCTTCGACCTCGTCAAGATATCGACAGGCAAGAGACTTCTATGTCCAGGTATTTAAAACATTTAAGCTGCTCAAGTTTAATTTATACGTTTAACTTAATCGCTTTTATTATAGGAAGCTTTTAACTCTTTTAAGACAAGATACGACTGAAAACTTAGTTAAACTATTTCGCCTTTGATCCTATTGTTTCAATGATAGTCGTCAAAATGCTCGTAATTCTGTCAAAATTTTGTAATACTCTTACTCGTATCCTAAAGTTTCCACAGAAAAAAATCTTTAATGCATTTACTATGTTTAAAAAATTAATTTTCTAGCCTTGTTGGACCGAAGAATCAGTTCTTGATGTACATTTTTACACATTTAAGATAATCATTTCTAGTCGGGAATGTTTTCTTTTTTCACTTACTTAATCCTGGTGTTTATACGTGAGCGGCATAAGTATATCTTTAATTGTAACTCTTATTAGCTCGTGTGTAAATCGCAAGTATATACCAAGCAAATCATTCATGCAATGAGAACTATTTTCATAAGCTCACAATTTTGACAAAGTCTTTTCAACCAGAGATAAAAATCAATGCATGCGCAAATTCATTACATCATGTTATTTTAACAATATTTTGATGTCTAGTTTATTTACATATGTGTCTTTTCATTTCTAAGATATTGCAAAAATGCTGCTCTCAAAATATATCATAAACGATTGATTACAAAGTTGATCCGCAGAATTTTTTTGTAAACAGAGAGTTATATGCTTATAATTTATGATCTTTGATGTCAGAAAACTATTTCGAGCAAGTGAAAATGTAATTTTTACTACTTATTTTATTAAAATATAAGTACTAAAAACTTAAGAAATGTTTTCTGAGAAGAAAAAACTTAAGAAGCAAGATAGAAGGAAGATAGAATGATTAAATCTAGGTTGTTCTGTTCTTATTCTTTTGATGGACAGGTGCAAATGAAAATGCACACCAAGATTCTTTGGGTTGTTGTTAATGTTACTTCAAAAAACAAAAGACCACTACTGGAAGATAATAATTTTTTCTTAAAATCAAGTCTTTAACTAAATGACACTTATCAATTAGAAATAAAAACTGCTTTCAATAAAATAAGAACTAGTGCAACAAAAACTTTGGTAAAATAATGAAGTTTAGTTATATTCCACATTCTCATTCACAAGTCATTTATAATTTTTATAAACATGTAAACTATGTGTCTCCAAGTTGCACGCTGAAGTTTGGTTTTTCGCTGCCCCCAGTCAAAAATATGAAAGGTACCAATTGGTTAGGTTTGATCCCCCGGGGGTTGATTGACGGAAGCGAAAAAGCAAATTTCAGTGTGCAACTTGGAGACACAGAGTTTACATGTTTATAAAAATTGGAGTAATGTGTAATAACTGCTAAAGGTGCAGTACATAATAAAGGACAATAAAAGTTGTTGTGTTGAAAAGAAAAGTTGCAAGCAAATGTTGCTTTAATTTTTTTCTCCTGAAAGTATAACACTCTTTTAATTTTTTTTTTTTTTTTTTTTTTTTTTGTTTTGTTGCAAAAGTGAAAATGTGTTGTGGATATTTTGGATTTAATTATTTAACAAATGTTATACTTTACTTTAGAAATAAAAACAACTAACCTTGCATGACCTTAACTGGCAAGATTCTGAAAGTATTGATCTAAAATTGAAATATTAATGTCAAATATAATTATTGTTGCTTTCTTCAGATGAATTACTGTCTGCCAGGAGATAATGTAAAAAAAGCTCAACTCATCAAAGCACTGAACAGATATGCTAGAGACAGATCAGTGGAACAACTGAGTAGGATATTACTGGGAATACTACAGACACCCATTGAAAGAAAATTACTAAAAGAAATAAGGTAATGTCATTCAAGAACAACACTATATTACTTAACTGCAAGAGACTGACCAACAATGGTCATCTAGGACTCTGACTAATATTTCTTATTATTGGGGCATTTTTTGCCAAAACTAATAAATATCTTTTTTTTTTAAATGGACCATTAATATTCAAATAATATTATATATATATATATATATACAGCCATTTGCAAAAATTATGGCCATTTCAAATATAAGTACAAGTATATCGAATGTATATCAGACAGGGCGGGATATCTTTCTTGATATTTTTTTCACAAAGCCCTAGTGATAGACAACTCGAAAAAAATATCAGGGAGGATATCCCATAATCAGTTGACATGCTTTTGATATACTTGTATATATATTGGAAGCGGCCATAATTTTTGCAAAAGGTTGTATATGATATATGATAGTCACCCAATTGTTTGATTGTCAAATTGGATATAATCGTGCAACTGTCATATATGACCATGAGTGTTGGTCCAGCTGCAGAGGCTTGACTCACAACCTCGGCTAATATAGCCTGCACAACAGACCAGTGCCCAATCAACTGAGCCTACCAAGAGACAGTAACTAAAAGTTAATAATGTTAATATTTTTTTTAGATGTCTAATTCCCAAGAAGCACAAACCTCAGTATGATGTTCTTGTTGGAATAAATGCTGATAGGATGGCCCCTCGGCGTCCACAAAGTGCTATCTCGTTTGATTCAATGTCAAGGCAGTCTAGTTTAGATAACTTTGACTTGATGCCTGATAATGGGCTGTTTAGGTATGTACATATACAATAGTGATATTTATTTGCAATATATTAACTAAAGTTAGTATTTAATATGCTAATAATAAACACTTGATGTCATTGTAAATTTAACAGATCAAAAACAGTTTTCCGTGTTTGATACTCTGATCAACACGCGGGATGTTGGGAGAACACGAGAGGAGCGTAGGAAACCACGACACATAGCGGAGTGGTTTCCAGCTTCTCGAGTGTTCTCCCAGCATCCCAAGTGTTTTGATCAGAGTATCGAACACAGAAAACTGTTTTTGATTTGTTTTATAAAATAACAAACGCGCGAAAAGATCGAAAAAAGCAAAGTCTAAGTAAATTCCCCCTACGTGCCGTCTTATTCAAACTGACCAATGAGCGCGCGCGATACTGTAGATTAAAAATGACGATTGCGTGTTTTGATACTCTCATCAAACATGGTTTTCGACCAATCATAGTGCGCGTAGTATCCCAATTATTTTATAATTTATATTCTTAATTTTGCAGGACCTGGTCATCTGGGAGCAGTATGCAGAGCCAATACAGCCCTGTTATGGACCAGAAAAGAAAAGTACAAGCACAGTCCCCAAGGTGGGAAAACCAAACTGCTTACACAATAATGAATCGTTATCATACAAAGCATTATACATGTAACTTCAGCCATTCAGGTTGATATTAGATTTTATTTAGATGATGGTAAAATCAACAAGTCATAGGGCTGGGATGAAATTCATTGTCACGTGATTGCATGGATGCTTGATCATTATAAGAGTCAATGAGCCTGTTGATCTTGATTTTAAAAGATTGGGTTATCTTCGTAAGAGTGGAACCAGAAATCAAGTCAGACCCTCATATGAATTTCTGTACAGTATATTATATTGGCCAGAACATTTGCCTGATGAGTCCAGTTCTGACCATTATTCATTTCCCTTTGAATTACTGTACCATCTACATATAGTTACATTGTACAGTTGTGGCATATTATGTCTTCATTCATTTTAATATTCAGGACTGTTAGAGTTAAAAGAGGAGTTGGTTCAGGATTTGGTTTTACTTTGAGTGGAGATGCACCTGTTTTTGTCAAATCAGTGGATAAGGGAGGTCCAGCAGATTTTGCAAAGCTCAAACCAGGTGATCACATTCTGGAAATTAATGGATTGAATGTAAGGTAAGTAAAATAAAATGCAAACTTTTGTTAAGTACTGTATATATTTTGTTATATAAGTTACATGTAAACATGTATGCATAGATTTCATTTCAATCAAGCACATGTAATTTACAATCTACCATATTGCAGAGATGTGGGAGACGGGGGACTAGGGGAGGGGGGACTGCTATAGCCCCCCACCTTTTCTACATCTTCTTCGCCATTTTATATCACATAATGTATTCTGAATTGTAGCCCCCATCCCCCCCCCCACCCCATTAAAAATAACACTCCAACGTCCCTGCATTGTGATATTACCTGATAAACACATCCCCAGACATGTGGGTGTTGGATGGCAATCAAGGCGTTTCCATGACATTCCATAGGCCTTGTTGAAAGCTTTGTTTTTTGGGGAGACAATGTTTTGGAAACACTTTAATTTTGCTTATGTGTGGTTGAGAAGCACTGTAATCATTTCCCTAATCATTTAGATATAATTGTGTTTTTACAGGGGTAAAAAGCATGGTACAGTCGTGGAGCTTTTAAAAGGCAGTGGTACTTACCCAAGCCTCTTTGTTCAGTGGCGTCCAATGAGCACACTTAGACATCATGGATCATCAGCATCCTCAATCAGTTCTAGGTCAGGTCTGTCAGTCACATTTGATAGAACTGGTGAGAATACTATTCCCAGATCAGCATCAACATCATCAAGAGCATCATCCACAAGAAGTGGATTTCCTGCAAGTGATAGACATCATGTACGGTCCCTTTCTAGAGAATTTAAATGCCAGGTCAGTATAAACCATACATGCATCTCCATGGATTCAGTTAATTATTGTCTTAATCTGGATATTGAGTTAATGGTACAGAACGCTGGTTCTGGTTGTTAAAGTTACCACAATAAGTACACTATAGTTAAATCATGTAGCTAGTGTAGTACTCCCGTCACCAAGATGCTTCATCATTTTTTTTCCTACAGTAAATTCAAATTCGTATTTGCTTATGACAATAGTAACGTAAGGCAATTGGTGCTAATTAACTGAACAAAAGAAAGTGTGCAAGGGAGTCTGGTAGTGGGAGTCAAATTACACCATACCATGCAAGCATTCAATTGATTTTGTCATGAAAGTTGCGTGTTGTGAAATATTGTGATTGTATAATTGCAGATGGATCGTCTGTTTACCAGTGGAGAACAACAATACATTAAACAGTGTCTAACAGAATATAAGCATGACAGGTATCAAAATATTCACTTGTAACATTTCAACTTTAAAGTCTTAAAGACATTTTATAAAATAACTGGGATACTACGCGCACTATGATTGGTCAAAAACCATGTTTAATGAGAGTATCAAAGTGAGTATTGCAACTGTCAGATTTTAAACTATCGCGCGCGCTCATTGGTCAGTTTGAATAAGATGGCACGTAGGGAGAATTTACTTATACTTTGCTTTTTTTTTGGCCTTTTCGCGCGTTTTTTATTTTATAAAACAAATCAAAAACAGTTTTCTGTTAATATTTAGCCATTCTTTTAAGTTTGAGACCGTATATAATAAGAAAAACTATCAAAAACAATGTTTGAAGAAAAAGAAAAAAAAATTTCATGATACAAAATAGTTTGTGTTGAAATGATCCATATCTTTTTTGTGCTTTCTTGAAAAAAAAAAAATTATTTGTATTTTGTGCTTCGCTAGGAACATATCCAAGTTGCTAGATGGCATAGAACCAGTTCTGGATGACCCCACCAAGCTTTCTATTCTGCACAATATGAGTGGACTTTTACCTGATGCAGAACAATCAGAGTTTGATAGGGCTGCTGCAAGGATTTTTGCCAAACATTCAGATGGTAAGTGAAAGACCCGATTGTAGCGAAGTTTTGATTATAGGGGCCAATCTACCGAAATTAATTAAATTTTTGGTGCCAAAAGCAAGAATTTTTTAAACTCCCCCTCTCCATGCTATGCTCCCCTCAATACAGTATGCTAGTGTTGTCAATAATAATGATCAAGTTTAATGTTCTTTAATGTTCTTATGATATATAAATATTATTTGTTTTACAGAAGGCGTCATATCTAGTTTAAACACCACAGATAAAGATGTAATGGATGTGCTATACAGAGTACAAGGAATGAGACTGACAGATACGCCTCGTGAGAGGACAATCATTGGTGGATCAGGTATGGATAGATCAAAGAATTTGAATTTGATTGTCATTAGCATCAGACTGAGATTATTGGCTAGTAACCCCTATTCTTGTCCCACAAAATAGTGCACCAGCCCTTCATGTCAGCATACATCATGTATCTCATGCATCATCTTCATCATCTCAGTCTATCTCTTTCACTATATCAATATTATTGCCACAGTTATCCTCATTAACTTGATCCATCAACATAGGCTCATTCATATCATTGTCATTTTCTATTAATTTATCCTTACAGCCATGACTCCTGAAAGGCCTGATCACTGGCCTGCAAGAGGATCAGCATCACATTGGAATTCTTCAAGTAAGAATCCCTATTTTTTAATGTGAATATCAATTAATTGAATTTAACAGGGAGAGAAAGGGGTCAGCCGGTTATGTATCACATGCTCATGTTTGCTTTGCCCAGATTGTTGCTCCGAGCAATTTAATGTTTGCAAGCTTTGCTTGGATTGCTAAATCCGCTAGTTCCAGCTACTGTAATTTCTCCTGCAGTTTTTGTTATCTTTATGCAACCCTCTCTGACTTGGTTTATTTGTAAACATCAAAAAATACTCCGCTCTAAAATTCAGTGTGACAGGTGCGGTGACCTGTGGCTTAGTTGCCATGGAAACATTCTTGCTGGCTTGTTGAAACATTGGCACCTACCCTCCAATTATGATCTGAACGGCATGTTAACGCTGTAGTTTTGATATATCATAAAGCAACAAGCTTATAGCAAGATGATAAACATACCTGAAGTTTTAGTTATCATTGTAGTAGGACAGGAATAAGATCCTTAAACTAAGACCCAGCCATGCGATAGAAGAAAAAATAACCAAACAAGTCTGCAGAATTTAGAAAATAAGTATGAAAATAATATTCATATTATTATATTGACAATAATAAAATAATTAACAAGGTCAAATTAAACCGAATAAACTCCGATCAAGTAACCTATAATTCAGCTCTTGGAAACTGAAGCTTATAGTCAGCAAACGTTTTATCTGTAAAGCAAAACTTCTTTAGTTCGAGTTCTTGAGATTGCTTCAGTATTRATGAACATATTTACATTCGTAAGAAGTACCTTGTTCCTTTTGAAGAAAAAGTATTTTTGAATAATACACTGCCAGTCGATGATGGGAATGGGATAGCCTGGTTTCGGTTTCAGCTATTCCTATAGCCGTTAGACTCGGAGGACAATACGATGAATTTTAGTTCTCATGAGAGTAGTAAGATTCTGTTGTTTTGTCCTCTGAATTGGGCTGCATTGGGAAATGTTTGCAAGGAATCTATTTTCAAAGCTCCACGTTAATATCTATGCATGTACTTACTCTAGTGTATAACTACCGCACCATGTATGCTACTTTCTGCCTCAAGAAATCGTCATGCATGGCTCGACGCAAGAAATATATTTTCTATTTTTCCTCGTGTTCTTCGTGTCCTGTCAAAACGAAGTGCTCAACAGAAGTGTGAGAAGGGTCTGGGACCGAAACTCACGAGTGCAAAGAAACCAAAAGGAACCAGCTTTTTCGTCTCATCTCTTTTTTTTCCTTAATCTTTTTTTTTTTATTCGTATCTGTTGTTTATCAAGACAAAAAGTTGCCACAAAATTTACCTTTACATTTTATGGGCAATTGAACTCGTCTTATCGCCGGTCCTTCTCAGTTTTGCTATAGCTTTCAAGTCAATATAATCACAAGCATCACAAATCTAGCTACCTGTCGCTTAGAAATGCGTTGGGTGTGGGTTAATTATCACGTGGTGGATGAAACAGCGCTGTTTTTGTTTTGTTTTGAGACTTATCATTGTTATTCTAACTTGACTCACCTTACCAGGAAGTGACCTAGACACAGTACCTGTACGAGACTCTGGCAACATGACTGATTTGGATGATGCCAATGATGAAGATGAAGAACTTGACTTAGGACTAGGTAAAAGCTAGACATCTTTTAATGACTTCAAATTTTCGGATGGAAGATGCAACTATTGTCCATTAATAAGACCAAAAATTCTCTTGCACCGTTTATGGCCACACTATTTCTTTTAATGTATTGTTCTGCTTTAAAGCTCCGGTTGGAATATGCATCAGCGCCAAGCACAATATTGATGACAACCATTTCGTTTTTTTGGGGGGGTGGGGGCATAGAAATGGATTAACTGGTTTATGATAGATGAATGGCGATAATTTAGGAAAACTTGAAAAATAAGAGCATAGGAGTTCACGTATATTTCAAATGATTTGAACTTGTTTTAAAATGCCTTCATTTTTTTTTTCTTTAGAAGAGTTAGCTGATGCACTTCTTGAAGAAGATCGAAGGAAAGCTTCACAAATGAACGTCAAGGTTGATGTACATGGAACCCAGAGACAAAACAAAGTGAATGATACACAGACACAAGGTATTTGAAAAAAATAAATGAAACAAAATGGATTTAGCCCAACAGCGGCGTTTCTACAGACTAATTTACTTCATCCACTGCCAATAGGGCTTTTAAGATGTGACGTATTTCCGATTCCACGCACACAGAAAAATCGCTAATCCCACAACTTAATCCCAGGATTTATTCACTACCTTCAATCAATTACATATTTGAACAGAAAATACTTAATAGCTCTATTCCGATTGGAATCGAACCAGGTTCGCCTTGGTGAGGCGCAAGTGCATTTACTGCTACGTTACCCGTGTTTCCACTTCAGGAAAATTGAATTTATGGTCCCATCCACTCCAGTTGATTTCCCCCTACTCCACCCCTACAAGTACATCTCAACATTAATTTTCTTTTAATGGGTTGTGATACGATTACATGGAATGCAGATAGCGTTCATAGTATGATTTTTGGTTCATTCGTTTACACCTATTTCAAAAAACGTCGGTCGGATATAGATATAAAGTGTGAAATCTGAGACGGCCGAGTAGCACGCTGCAACTTTGTAATAAATCCACAGCCAAACAACGTAGTTTTCGTTTAGATTGGAATATAAAGTATGACCTTTGAGATATAAACGTGATTTTTCGTATTTTAGCCAGAAAACATAAAAGCACAAAAATTTCTTTCAGTCTCAGATCGCCCAGACCGATATCGGTTTTGTTTTAATAGGTGTATTGAAGAACGAAAGTGGTCTAATAAAAAAGAGAAGAAAGTTAGGTTTATAACCACTAAACATTTGTGTTTCATTTAAAGGTCAATTAACGCATATATCAGTAGAAGGTACAGAAGAAGGACCTTCATGGGAAGAGTTGCAGCATGATCTCAATGCCAAAGCTAAACAGCTTGATCTGGCTAATAAAGTTATTTCAGAGCAACAGAAAATCATTGCAGAAACGAAACCAGGTGAAGGCAAAGGTGTTTTTTTTTTTTTTTTTTTGACCCCCACATTCTACGGCCCTCGTGCCGATACTCCAAACCATAGAAATATGTTGGAAATGACGATTCCCATACCATGGAAGTGTTCAAACAATTTTAAGTCTGACTTCTAACTGACTTATTTCCAATATATTTCTAAAAGTATTTCCATGATCTCAAACGGACCGATTTTTACAGTTCACCTTTTTTCTCATTTTGCTTGCGCATACACTAATTCGCGCCTTCTTTTTCCTTTGGTTACGGTTAGTCTCCTATTCACAAGCAGCACCATGTTTCAGAGTTGTCATAGAGCAGTCCACATAATAACTTTATCGTCCTCTTCCAATCTTAAGTCCTGTAATGTCGTAATTCCCTAGCACTCTACGTAATGTTTCGACGGCCTAATATCAAACCTCTTCTTTGGGAATACGAAATTTTCTTGAATTGTAAACCCAGACAAACGACATGACACTAAGTCTACCCTCACTCATATTGTGTTCTTAACCTGACATACAAATGTTTTCTTCTCCAAGATTCTGGTAGTGAACCCAGTAAACAGAGCTTCCCTAACGATTTAGCTTCTGCAGTAAAATCAAGAAACAAGGATCAAGAAAGCGATGGTAAGATTCAGTATTTGCCACACAGGTCTTCGTTTTGCTCCTCTCGGGGAGTGTGTTTCTTTTTTCATTGTCATCCGTTCTGCAAAATTGTCTTGAGTCAGTTGCTTGTACACGGGGTTTTTATACTCGTGGCCTGAAATGGGAAAACGTGCAAAAACAAAACAGACCATTGTACCGGTTACTTTGTAAAATGTCTTAACCAGTAGAAGATAAAGGATCTTTTCGTAAATTTTTTATTAACGATGACTGGCTTGAAAATGTCTATTTGTAGTTTCACGCGCATAACAGAAATTACTGTTTTGTTCTTTCTTCTAAAATCAGGTGTAATAGTCAATTTAATTACTTTACATTGTTTTGTTTAATTTTACTATTTGAATTATTTAGAAGCTAGCGTCAACTTTCCAGAGTTTTGAATAGTATGCAATAGTTCCGTTCGGGGAAAAGCCTTACTTTACTTTAGAAGTAAAGTAAAAAGCATGGACGAGTCATGAATGGTTTTGGAATATGTTTTCAGACTCAGCAGCTTCATCGTCATCGTCACCTCCCCCTCCACCACCACCACCGCCCAATTCTGCTGCTCCACCTCCACCACCACCTCCGCCTCCTCCTGGACCCCCTCCCCCACCAGCACCGATGATTGGAGGCGCACTGAGTGCTGATGGTTCAAAGATGACACTGAAGCGAGTAAACTGGGAAAAGCTAAGCGACGTGGGATTAGAAAATACCGTCTGGGCCCAGGTAAAGTACCGGGAATCTAATACTAATAATTTTTTTATCCAAATTCAATTCTGAGTAATACATGACGACAGATACCCTGGGTTCCAGGCGCTGTCTCGCTCCAGAACCACTCTCTCGATCTAACAAATCCTACGACGGAGAAGCACCGCAGCGAGCGAGCATCACGTGACACTGAAATTTAGCTGCCGAAAAGATATGAACGCAGGAAACATCTTTAGTGCATCACTTATATTGCATTGCATTTCACCGAAGCAAGACCATAATGCACCTTGTTTGTTAAAAACAAAACAACAACAGCAACGATAAAAACAGAGAAAGGTCTAGGAGTATTTTGAACTTGAAATATTCGTGTACATTTATCAAAAGGCTGTTGATTGGCATTATATACATTAGATTACTACCACTGCCACAATCCCTTGCTCTCTTTTATTCAGTTACCTATAGCTCATTAGCTCATGTGATGTCGTACTATTCTCACGAGGCAATAAAACTAATTGCAAAAAATTGTGGAACATTTTCGTAGTGATAGTAAAATGACGCCTTTATTAGTCACTTTTTGATTCTTACCATACAAATCAGTGACGTAACATTCCATCGAGCCAGCTTATAGATGATTATGATGATGATGATGATGGTGATAATGATAATAATAATAATAATATTAATAATAATAATAATAATAATAATATAAACAATAACAATAATGATAATAACAACAACAACAATAATTTTAATTTTGATTTTAATACTTCTATAGCGCAACATACTTTACATATATAGTCTAATGCGCTTAAGGTTCAGAGATTTCACTTTCGTATAAGTGGAAGGCATGTTGTTTTGCTCGGGAAGACAAAAAAATTTTCCTCTATCTCTAGAAAGTTTTTTTTTCTCTGCAGCAATTCAGCGGTTTAGAAATAGTGAAATAAGTGGTAAAAGCCAGCCAGTCTTTAATACTTTTCTGTGAACTGAATATATAGACTGTTTTGTAAATGGCTTCTTATTTTTGCTTTGGTTGTCTAAAGCTTGGTCGAAACGATCCCTTGGATAACGTGATCGAGTTCATGGAGCTGGAGCAGAACTTCAGTACAATAAAAACAACACAAGGTATCAAAATATCTTTCATTGACCTTCATAAATGATTCTCTTTATTAACTAAATGTATTTATGTCTTGTAAGATTTTTTGATTTGATTCTCTGTGAGCTCTAGCTTTTAACGTCCGTTGTTGACAATTCAACTCTATTTTTAGGTTAGCAATCGTTCTCAGCGGCCAAATGGACCTATCGGATTAGAAAGAAAACGGCCAAAAAACCGAGGCAGTTACATAATAGATTCGTTCTATCGTTTGACATTCATGGGAACGTTTGGCCGTAAACCATTGCTAACCCTATATCAATGTATAGACCATAGTAAACGATGGCTGCCTTCCTTTGTATGTGTATATCAATAACCATAGCAGTCGTCTCAGCTGAGAGTTAGACGTCTAGTCGCTTCGCAATGCTTGGTGCTATTTTATATTCTCAAACTGGGAAAATTTTTGATGCTTATGGAAAATAGAATAATCATAATGGCGGTTTTTTTGGTATCAGCTTAATATCGTTATTTTATTCATTTGTTATAAAATTGTAATCTATGATTCACTTTTGATGTTTTGTAGAAAAACCGACCAAGAAAAACGACAAACCCAACGTATTGGATCGTAAAAAGCTGTATAATATTTGTAAGTATATAAAGTAAACTGAAGGGTTGTGTGATACATATAGCATTTCTAGATTATCCTTTTCACGATAACACCAAAGTCACGTTTTCAGTCCACATAGTTTCTGTATATAGCTAACACGAAACCACGAAACCTGGCAGGGCAAAATGAAACGTACTGCCCATGCGCAAAGTCTATAATTTGTGAGCTGCTTATTGAACATACCTTTTTTTTAATCATTGAAGGAGCGAAAAGCTTTACAGTTGATTTTGCCAAAAAAGCTTTTTCGGAAAGCTACATACTCATATGCCGTAACGTATACCAAAGTACTTTTGATACAGTTTGGCCAACCTTGTTTTCTTGTCACGCAGCCTTAAAGAAGCTGATACAAGCTCATTTCCTATATAATCATTAATTAAGATGAAATGAACGTTCTTACAATGGTCTTGAACATTCATTGAAGCGTAGAATGTCTGCTCCTAAATCTTCATGATACATCCTCTTCGTCTCTATTCAAAACCAAAGTCGTGCTACACCCAAGCCGGCTCGTAAAGGTTTAAAATCCTACATAAGTAAACATGCATCTTTCTTACTGTTTAGGTCATACATTTATATTTAAAAAACTGCGGTATTTCCTTACGTCGGAGATGCATATTACGTTTTGCTCTTTCCCGAAACCAGTGCTGTGTCGGATAGAATCCGATATAAGAAACGCCGACGCACCCCCCATCCTTCCCATAACCCCTCCGGATTTATCTGGAAAACCTCGCTTTGCATGGCGGGAGATACGCGTTCAAGGTCTGGACCCAAAGTGACATGATTGTTTTGTTATAGCAATTCTTCTTGGTCATTTGAAAATGTCAATCAGTGAAATCAAGTCCCTTATCCTGTCGATGGATGATAGTAAACTATGTGAAGCTCATCTAAAACAACTGTTACTTTACGCACCTGACGCTACGGAGGTAAGGATTCCATCAATATTTCTCTTATTGAAGTCTTTTTACCCTGTCCTCCTCTATATGATCACAACAGATTCTATATTCAAAAACAACGGGTCAATATTCGCCGTTTTCACATTCCCTTATATACATTGTATTTTTTGATGGAGTGTCGGCTAAAAGTAGCCAGGATAAACACAATGCTGCAAAGGCATCTCAATATTGTAAGCTGCTAACAAGAAATAACCAGAAACAACTAAAAAAGAAATTTTGTTTAAAATCTTTGAAAAAAATTAATGTGAAGCATCTGATTGAAGAGCGTGCGCAGTGTTAGTTTCAACAGTATTTTGACTGTGCCCTGTGACATTTCACCGTCAGTCAATCCTTCGTCTCAAAGGTAATGAGTGATATTTTTTTCTTCAGCTTCAGAAATACAAGTACGTCACAGCAGATAGCGTTGACAAAATGGAAAAGGCTGATCAGTTCTCGTACGAGGTAAATATGATTATGGTCTTAACAGGGTCATGGTGGTCTCTCTCTCTCTCTCTCTCTCTCTCTCTCTCTCTCTCTCTCTCTCTCTCTCTCTCTCNTCTCTCTCTCTCTCTCTCTCTCTCTCTCTCTCTCTCTCGCACACTCTCTCTCACACACAGTCTCTGTCTTTCTCTCTCACTTTATCTCATGCTGAACTTAACTCGAAGTTCCGCAAACGTACTCCCTCGTGACCAGGCTAAATGTAGTGGATGAATCCTCTAAAAAGAAACTACATGACTTTATGGGATCAGATTTAATTGCTGATGGTGCTTTTGGCTCTAGTTTTACATTTTTACGGGATACAACTTAATAATAATGATACAACTTTTGTTTCCAGATGAGCAAGATTCCATACTACACGCAAAGACTCAAGGCTATGCTTTTTAGGTCGCAGTTTGATGACAAAGTTGACGAGATCAAACCAGTAAGAATTGTGTCATCTTAAAAATAGTTATTGTTATTCTTTATTTTCCTTTACGAATGCGGGTATAGACACCTTTAAGTTCCCCTATATCCCAATCCGATGTCTCTCCATACTACTTTACCCTGTATCGTAGGGAAATAATTAAAAGAACAGGTTGTAAAAGGAAACCCTGGCAGTGACAACTCTCAGTGCCTGGCCTTTACTAATTTGGGTCCTCGGAGTGGAGCTTTGCTCTGTGGGGTTTCCCTGCCCATGTCGCGAAGATGTGCAATGTTTTTCATTGGTATCCATAGTAGCGCGTTTGTATACTGAGACCTTTTTAAGAAAGGTACGATTTTCTTGGGGAGAGTTGGTACTCAGTTTAAAGGGTAGGGTCGTCATTAAACTTCTATGAAGGGCCAAATCTGACGAAATTCAGTTCCTTTTCATGAATTTATTACTGAGAAAATAAAGGAAGAGGGCTAGAAGCATTATAAAAAAGTTGACTGTGTATTCCCCAGCCCCCCCCCCCCCCCCAGTAAAAAACGTAGCTTCCCTTAACGTAATAACCTATAAGAAGGACCTTAGTAGATCTTGCTGTATGTTTAATGGAAACAGTTCCCATGAACTCTAAGAGCACGACGTCAACTACGAGACGACAGAAAAAAGGGTGTTGCAATGTATGTTTAGGGTAATCCAAAATACGACGCCGATACTGATAAATGGAATACACTTTTAGGATCTGGAAGCCGTTATCGATGCGTCAAGAGAACTGAGGTCAAGCGAGAAACTGCAGAAATTGCTAGAGGTATTTACTGAATGCAGTTTAAGGCTGTTCACGGATTAATGTTTTGAACGTACCTTTAGATTGTATCAATAACTTGAAACGACGTCTGTGCTGGTCTAAGTCAGGACACGTCCATCAAACAAATCGATTTGAAATTTAGCTTGTTAGGTTTTGTGGAGGGGAGGGTATGGGGGATGAGGATGTTAGGAGACCCGGGTAATAGCAGTCGGAACCTATCAAACTCTACTCACATGTGATATAGGACTCGAACCTGAGAGGTGAGTGCACTTCGCAACCTTCACTACCCTGGGCTCCAGATACTATATCAAGCCAAATTTTTTAGCGACAGTTGCGTGCAACATTACATGCAACAGGTTCAAAGGGGATGTCACACTAAGCAGCTTTTACTATTAAAAAAAATATGAATGAAGGAACGCTACCAAATAAACCTCCTCGGCTCAGGCGTAATGTTTTCCCATTTCACACGGCCACGTGTCATTACCATGAGTGTAAGATCCTTTGTTGTATCCATATTCATGAGTCTTACACGTCTGTTAGAGCAAAATATGACGATACTGAGAAGATCATGTATTGTCACATCTCCTGTATTGTCATGTCCAACTCCATTTTTTGTAATTCTGAGAATTTTTACAAATGAGAGATTCTTCTATTTATTAAGTTTTCTACAATTCTCAGTGCGTAGAAAACTTACTAACTTTGTATTTTTCCACTTAGCTTGTGCTCTTAACCGGTAATTACATGAACAAAGGAAATATGCGGATAGCAGGCGCACAAGCTTTCAAGATCACATACCTCACCAAAGTAAATGGAAAATATATAGCTGTAATGATAATATACTCATCGTTATTTTGCGTTTCCACATAGGATGCATCAGTATCACAGCAGAGTTCTAAAGCTAGGAAAGGGGCTAGCACGTTTTGGCGCAATAGTCTCGGCAATTGCTCCATTGATCCGGAAGCGATAAAATTGAAAACATAACATATAAAACATTTAATCGGTTTTAATAGTCTCGCAACACTTTAACATTGTAGCCCTGGATGTTTTCATACATATTTGTCCATCGCTTTAAATATGGCATGCACAATAGCTTCTATAACTACTATAACTAGCTCCATGTGACTATCATGTTTTCAATGTTGTGCTCTTGTTTCCATAGTTGAACAGTACCAAGACCACCGACAATAAGTCAACGTTACTTCACTTTCTGGTGCAAAAGATAGAAAGCAAGTGTCCTGAAGTACTGACCATGAAAGAAGATCTGAAAACTGTCCCTGTGGCCGCTAAAGGTTAGATTTTAATGCGTTTTCGTTATGAAAACACATACTTTTTGATGCGTTGTGGCCGAAAATGATTGAAATAAATGATCAAAACGCATGCGTTTCAAAAGCGCGTCAGTGTGGAGGTGACCTAAGCGTGTTAAGCAAAATTAGAAGGTTTTGAAAATGCTGGCTTCGTTCGTACTGGCACGTCTGTTTTTCGCATTCGCAGTTGATGATATTGCACAACTTCTGATCGTGTCTGTTTTTAATTTGAAGTTGGCTGAAAAGTCAAAAAAATTCCGTTTCCTATGAACACTCCATCTATCAAATATATCATGGTTTGTCACTTAGTTCAGTACGATTATGAATGCCAGGGGATCTCGTGATGAGCCCATCAAAAACCAGCCAATCAGCGCGCAGAAAAAAATCTGATCAGGCGGTCCATCGAATCTACTGGGCGGAAACATGGTGGCCGTAGTCAGAGGAAATAACTATGAATCTTTGCTTTCCTAGCTACGTTATTGACTAGCAATGCATTTAAGATCCTGCCTATTCTTAAAACGATTAACTATGGGACAAATGGTGCGTTGCGGTTCCAATTCTTTTATGAAATTATCGTGAAATGAGATCTCTTTGTTCGCCGATAGAAAACTGAAACTAGGACCGCCTGATCAACCACAACAAGCCTTTGCGCGCGTTCCCTCCAGATCACCTGGTGCGATTTGAAATATATTTCTTGTAGGATAAATAATGGAATAACAGGTGTGATTTCCAGATTAATACTAAACTCTATTATTCATTACAGTTTCTGGTCAGATGGTGGCCACTGAAATTCAAGATTTGTCAAGAAGAATGAAGGTTCGATGATCGAGTCATTATGCATCTGATATTAAAGTGCCGTTATTGGTTCTACATGAAGTCAACAGTTGAATAGTTAAGAAAAACAATTTAATCAACTATATTAATGTATTCATCCACAGATTCTGCAAGATGACTTGATCTCTTTTCAAGCCAGGAATGTCCAGGATGAGGACGATCACTTTATCGAAGTAGTAATTGTATCCTTTTTATATCCAAAACCAAATCTCTAGGAAAAAACTTCATAAAAGCTAAAACGTTCTTATGGTTGTTGACAGTGCAATTGACTAATGCCTGATCACAATTGCAGTTAAGCGCAGATCTAACATGGATTTCTTAGCGCCCCGTTTGCAAAAAGAAATATAAATAATGTTTAAGACTTTCATTTGTTCAAATCTATTTCAAAAAAATATTAATGCCTTAACAAGATTACAGGACATCATCGAGCAGACAGAAGGAAAACTAGAAGAACTATTAAGTTTACAGAAAACAATGAACAGTGAATTCAAGAAAACTGTTGCATTCTTTGGGGAAAAGGAATCCAAGACGACCACGGAAGATTTCTTTGCTGTTTTTGCTGCATTTCTTACTCATTATGAAGTAAGAATACGCAGAATGGTTCAAATACTATTAGTTTACAGGTTTTTCTTTGGTGGAGGGGGAAGGATAGTCTCCTAAGCAGCCGCTATTAGTGTCGTCACGCAACGCTCACTCCCCTAATTGCGTGACAACACTAATAGGGGCTGCGTAGGACACCAGGGGAAGAAGAGGGACTTGAGTTTTGCTCTTGCCCTAGGGCGAGTCATTCATATAGATATTGGAAGTAGAGCAATAGAAAATGCCTTCCGCCATCCTATCCGACCCCCCTACCCCCCCCCNATCCCCCTTCCCCATCCCCCCTCCCAAAAAACATGAACAGTGAACGCTCCCTAAATTTCTTAAGATCAGAAATTTTGTTTTTGGAACCGACACTAAATTCTGAAAGCCATAATTTTGTGAAAAATAAATAAATGCTCATTTTGATGGATGGCGTGAATTGAGAGTACGTACACCAAATCAAACAATCTATATTATCGTCGTTTTTCTTTGTTTACCAGGTGGCTATCAACCACAATGCCAATAAAAAGAAACTTAAAGAGGAACAGACAAAACGCGAGGTAAGATATTCTTACGGATTCTTGCTCCTTCAAGCCCCATTGTACTGCAAGCAGAAGGTTTATTTTTACCAATTATTCGCTGAAACGAAGTGTATATATTGTTAAATATTCGGAGGAAAAAATTAAGGATTTTTTTTTCAATTATAATGAAACTATTCGGTTTATTATATATGACTGTTTTGTAATCAACAGGAGCGGTCAAAACTGTTCCGTGAACTGAAGCAAAGAAGTCTCAGCGTGAACGATGAAGAGGACACCGCTAAAGTGGAGCTGAAGAAAAGTTTGGATGACAGGAAGGCAAAAGTAATTCCTTATGTTCTTGAGTCAAAGGAAAATGAGACAAAGAGTAAAATAAATGGAACAAAGAGAACAGGCGATACTGAATTACATGTTAGGTCACCTTCTGCTCCCGCAAGCAGTCAATTACAAAAACAGGTTAAGTCAGTTGTATCTACCAAACCTGTTGTACCAGCGGCCAAACCAGCCTTACCAGCCAAACCAGTTGCACTTCCCAAGCCAGTTGCACAGGCCAAACCAGTTGCATCGGCCAAACCAAGTGAGAAAACCAAACCAGCAGTACCGGTCAAACCAGAAATCACTACGAAGCCTCTACCTCCACCACCAAAACCAAAACCCTACGCTGTCCATTTAGCTCAAAAGAAGAGCGACTCAAACAATAATTTGAACAAAAACAACCAATTAAACGTTGCTAAAGATAGTACACAAGTGATGTGTCCTTCCCGTACCATAGAAATTGAACCTAGGAAAGAAGAGAACAGAGAGATACCGCACGGATTTAGAAATATATTGTCTTCATTTGAATCGAATGCAAAAGAGGAAAAGCCATTAGATGTGCTGTATGCAAAACCAGATATGACCAAGAAAACCCCCAAACAACTTGCACCTATAGAAAATGTCCCACTTACACCTCCCAGATCACATGACATCAACCATTTGGAGGAACCAAACCAACCATCATCACGGCAAGACCCAGGACCACCTAAACAACTGGCATCTATAGAAAATGTCCCACTTACATCTCCCAGATCACTTGACATCAACCATTTGGAGAACCCAAACCCACCAACATTGCGGCAAGACCAAGGACCACCCAATTTCAAACCACCACCGCCACCTGTTGGCCTAGAAAATCAAGTCAGACACGCTGTGCACACTGCTTCACAACCAACCAAGGAAAAGGCCAAACAAGCATTGACAAACGGAGGCAGCCTTTCTCCTCCTACAGGTCTCGGGCTTGATGATGATTCAAAAGATAATCAAAACTCATTATCCGTCACTCCAGCGTTTGACTTATCCTACTCGTCGGTTGATGTAGTTACGACAATACCACAAAAACCTGTGGGTAATTTAGATTATGAAGATGTGGAGCCAAGGTTTAAGAAAACAACACCTCCACCCAAGCCTGCGCCTTATGAAGGTCAAATGCAAGTCGTACCTATGCACAAACAAATCGATTCCATCACTAGAGGCTTTGCTGTTGACAGTGAAGATCATGAATCTAAAGATGACAAACTTGTTTCACCAAGACATCCAATCGCTGGATCAGGATCACTTAGACTTTCTTCTGCACAATTAGTGGCCAATGCTTTAAGGGCCCCAATACCAAGCAAATTGGATATAAGCGTGCCAAAAAGAGACAATCGTTCATCGCCATCTGTTAGCAGTCGATTGAGACATACATCAGTTGGATCTCCAAACAAGCCTAAACCTCCGCCGCCTCCTCGAACGTCCTCGATCAAAGATTTAACTCAAGATGAAACCGAAGCAGATATTGATCGAATTATTGCGAGGGCTCTGTCGCCAGATATGAAACCAGAATTTGAACTTGATGATATTCCTGTTCGAGACACAAACACGACTGACACCAACTCACCCCTGTCAGACTTTTCCTTCAAAAGCAATACTAGAGATCTGGACGATAAAGTGTTTGAAGTCGGCAGCTACAAAAAGGAAACATTTGCTGACCAATTACCGGTCTCAAAAAATACAACATCGAACTCATTTGGAGTGGTACCACCACCAGCTTGGCATGAAGCACACGGTGTTCCTCCTTTGGACTTGTCAGAATTTGATTTAGAGTCAAGTATTACACCTCCACCACCTCCCAGTGAACCCCCGCCATCTTTGCCAATACATGACTATGTTAACCTTGATATGCCATCTTATGAACCCAATTTTGAGATAAATGGCTTAGTTAATGGGAGTAATGAAATATCAGACGACGAAGACTTTGTGCCCCCACCTCCTCTGCCTCCAAGTGATAAGTATGGTCCGTTAGATGGAAGAATAACGGATGAGACGATGAAGCCTTTGGTTCCCCCACTAAGAAAGCTTCGGTAACACAGAATAGGACTGCCTATTTCTATTCAATAATTTAATGCGCTTTACGTTATAACAGAAACTTGATAAATGTGTTATTATGGCTGATAAAAAATGTAAAATATTCACAATATGCTATATTTTCTACCCTGCTCTGTCTAACAACCCAACAGTTTTGATGATATTACCTAGCTGTCATGTGGTATACTTTATGTTACGGTCACCAAAATGTTCGGACAAAATATCAAATAACTCCACGTTTTTTTGCTTAATTTATGCCTGAGTGAATTCTTAGCTATCTGTGAATAAGTTAACCAACAAAATTGCACGAATTAGTGGAACTTTTTGTAGATCTACGGTCTACTGAGGTCTATACTGAACTTACTAATTTGTGCAAATTTGTCTACTGAATATCCTACAAAGTTTTTCATGGATATATGGCATGCACTAAACACTTGATAATTAAATACATTTGCTGCGCGGATACTCCAACCGGGAACACTTTACCAATTTATTATTATTAATCAATTATATTGCGACATTTAGTTCAATATTTTTTAACCTGCCAATCAAATAGCACATTGATATGATAAGATTGTGAGAACGTGATAATCTGATTGGCTAACACACTGTTATCAGTTCAATCTGTCTAGTTTACTGTTATCTGATTGGGTAGTTTCATTCAAGTGGTCCCCGATAGTGGGTCCGTACAGTAAGCGCTGCAAGGTAGTAATGTTTTCACGGATATATGGCGTGTACTCTACTAATCCTGATTTAAAATTTCCTTTTTTATGTAGAAAAATAAAACAAGTCATTCATGTTTGTAGTTTATTCTAAAACAATGTCCGCACATTTTGGTGACAGTAACATAATTTATACCGCGTGACGAAAGAGACCAATAGGTAAATTTCGCCGATAATTAGTTATATTGCATGATGAATTAAGTTGTCGTTCTGCGACACATGCCTAATAGACCTCTAACGAATTCGCTTGACTGGCCACGAAACAATGGTTTCAAGTCGAGGTTGAACTTGATGAATAAATATATCAGTTTCAGTCTCGACTTCAAACCATTGTTTCGGGGTCAGTCAAGCGAATTCGGGATAGGTCTATTCACAATATTCTTTAAAAAATTACCCTTCATTAATTATGTATATATCAATCAAAATGGTGTGCAAATAGTAACTGAACATTAACTACCCTGAAGCCCGCATGAACGATGTGTATTAGGAATCAGTAGTGACTAATAGAGTGTGACATATTTGATATTTGAAGAATGGCATGTTATTTCAGTAAATATGTATGAATTTTATCAACACGGTAAATAATGTTTGTGTCGTTTGAATAAAATATGCCTAATGCGAGATGATCATAGCTGACAACAACAAAACTATATAAATTACACCAAAATAAATGGGAACTGAGGTCATCAATTAGATTCATCTAATAATAGGACGTTTGCACGATGGCGTCATTGACCTCTACTAGCAGACTCCCTTGCACACTTTCTTTTGTTCAGTTAATTAGCACCAATTGTCTTACTATTCTCATGAAGGAATACAAATTTAAATAAGAAAGAAATTTCGCGAAGCATCTTGGTACTGGGAGTCAAATGATGATATCGGGCAAACGTCCTATTGTATACACTTAATTGAAGAATTGTTGTCGGGTTTAGAAACATAGAACATAGAAGCTGAGACCGAAATGGCACATGGGAAGTGACAATTATATTATAATTTATTCATTTGTGCCATCCATGCAGTCGTTTTAGAATGCCAAACGCGTATTCAGAAGACCTACGTTTGAGAGTGGATGTACTTCTCCATGTGCCATTTCGGTCTCAGCTTCTATGTTCTATGTTTCTGAACCCGACAACGATTCTTCAATTGAGTGTATAGTCGTATCCAGAGCCTCCTCATAACAAAAATCGTATGCTCTTGGAAACGCCTGAAATTCTATCGAATTTCATTGACTGTTGCAATTAACATAGCAACGAACTATGATTGTTCAATAGGATAAACAAACATATGGATCTTGAATCAAATTCGAACATATTTATTTTTGCAAATAGAAGACGTAAACCAGCGATTAGAAAGGATGCGCTCTGACGTCCTGGTCGCAAGATTCTGGCTTCCGATCAGTATAGTTTGCCAGAGCCTACGATATGGCTTATGGGTTGGGTATACACGACTTTCAAAAATGGCCGCCAAACTCGGTTGGGACTAGGGACAATTGAATGGAAGCGAGGTAAGTAAGTCATTCATTTCACCAATTCGAGTTCTTTAAAGCGTCTATTGAAATAAGGGTGAATGACTTTGACASAAAATATCGTACTGAGTAGACTTTGTTTACTAATGAGGCCTTACTTACCTCGCTTCCATTCAATTGTCCCTAGTCCCAACCGAGTTTGGCGGCCATTTTTGAAAGTCGTGTATGGGAAGCGAGAATGTTATTGAGTTTAAAAACGGTCAAGGTACTGGGGCCAGTTTTGAATTCAAAACTTATAACCAATTGTAAATTTTCCAAACTAAAAAAGGCGTATAGTTCTGATTCTTTTCATTTAAACGTATTCGAATTTGCTTTTTCAAATGATGGAATGACCAAATTTTCTTTGCTAATTAGTTTGAAATTCAAAACTCGCCCTAGTATCTTGCTCTGGTTTTTGAAATGGCCAATAGTGTGGAGGCATTTTACCGGTTCTCCGGTTTTCCTCCCTCCCAAAGAGCGGGCCTCGAATTTGTTTTTCGAAATAGATAGATGAAAATTACTCTGTGTAATTCTAGTAACCCTATCAAATGATGCAGTTTTTTTACAGGCAGCCCAGTAAACGCCTTTAGGGCGACTTTTTCTGTGAGATATAAAGCCGTGTCCTGACTTTCATCGTGATATAGGAATCATTCTGATGTTACGATGTTGTGAGGCGTTTGATCCAGTTCTGTAAAACCTCTTGACTGATCAAAGTATTAGTATTTTTATGCAAGTAAATATAATAAATCTGGCGCCCTCAAAAAGCCAAAAACAGAATTCCAATTAACTTTGCGTTTTTGAGAGTAGAAACCTATTTAAAAAAATAATTTCCCAGTCTGACTCGTGCAATATCAAGGAGAAGTTCGCATTTCTCCATGTTGGCCAGATGATGACTCAGCTCAGTTGTTGTTTTAACCATTTGACTGTACTGTATTTGGATGAGTGAAAACACGCTAAAAATGGAGTTGGTCACGCTGTTTCGTATCGCAGCGTCACGATTGTCTCGCTTTTAACACAAGATTTATTCTAAAACAAAAACAAAAAATCATAACTATTTTTAAATCGCATACATACCCCCTTTTTTCGCTCAAAATGTAATAACGACACTGAAGTAAATTTATGTCACACAATTTTAAAATTAAGATTGGTCGTGAATACTTATTTAAGCAAAAATTCAGCATCTCTTCAGGACAACTTATTACACTTTTGAAGCCAAAATGTAATTTAAAAAAGATATTTTTAATGAGATACACAAATTTTCATATCCACTATAGAGAGAGCACAACCGGCTGATTATTCTTAGAAAGATTCAGGTACAATCTTACAAATTTGATTTGAATTTWTTTTTTTTTTTTCTTCTTTTCCTTAAAAGATTGCTTTCGTCATCAGTGTTATTTTTAACTTTGATTATCTCGCTTAGGTGCTTGGTGAGCCCCATTTTCTCTCTCTCTCGGATTCCAGAGGCCCATTGAGTATTTGAAAGGACTAACAGAGTTTAAAGGGAATAAAAACACTTTGCAATTAAAGGGCCACCGTCCTTAAAAGAATCCATTATTGGGGCCAAAAACAAATGTTGAGGAAAATCACTAGTGACAGTAGCTATTGTTTTCACGAGCTTTTGTCTGAGCAGAGAAAATCGTAAATTACGCAGCCAAGGACACAATTACATCTTGCTGCGTGCAAGAACGGAACGCTACCAGCTGATCTGGAAAAAAAGTAAACCAATCAGAATTGAGAAAATTTGCAAAACTGCATTGTAAACTTTTCCACAACAAAATTTAAAGATTTCATAATCAATCTATAAATAGAGTTACTCATGCTGTTTGAAATATGATGAACGGAGGCCAAACCAAGACTACTGAGATAATAATGGATAATAATGCTAGGTGAGCGTGCGAAGTGAAAACACAGCAATAGAATGGATTGAATCCATGCAGTGTCGTCAGTACAGCAGCCTTGATATGTTTCTATTTTACAGGCTTATATTTAAACAGTTATACCAAAATAGAAAAAAGTTACAGCAGGAAGGAAGAAATAACTCCAATAAATTATTTGATTTTGGAAAACAACGTTTGTTTAGCTTTCAGAAAAAATGCATACTTTTATTCAAAATATTGTAAAATCTGTGAAGAGTTGAGGTAGCGCAAATAGGGTCAATAGGGGACTAAATCCCTTGAGGAAATTTAGAAAAGACTCTGTCAGCAGGGTAGTGACACGTGGTCTGAAATGGGCGACAAAACATTACGCCCAAGTGGATTTGGTTAATTAATACTGCATGATGCAATTAATAAGTGACATACTATTTAGGCCTTATTTATTTTCCTTAATGAATTGGTAAAACATATTAATACTTTCGTTAATGAGTAGAATAATATTCGAAATTAAATCTGATGTTCCATAAACATGTCCGATCTCCTTTCTTCCATATTCCTAATAACGTTTCTGAGTTCTGCTTCTTGCGAGACACAAGAAATCATTTATTTGGCTTCCAACACTTCGATTCTCAGAGATGTCAAACACGGTCTTCATTTCGCTAACTTTGTAAAACACCGGTTCAAGTATTTGAAAGTCACACCCTTCATGTCTTCACTGATACCAAACCAGAAAAAGTGTCAGCTTTTTTGTGTTCAAAACTTGCAGTGTTTGTCGCTTAACGTCGCTGTTTTCCCCGACTCTGATGACAAGTTTAAATGTGAGCTTCTTGCCACGGACATTTTCAATTCTTCTTCAAGCATCACCAACGACGTGAATTACAACCATTACAGCTTTGAGGTTAGATATTTTCACTTTGCTTGACCTTGATGACACATTTGAGATCTTTGATATTTACTAGGCATACACACACACGCAGATTAACATCTTCTTACTTGAGAAGCTGGCTCGCCATGTTTTTTTTAGTCGGCATTCACCGTCTCAGAGTTCGTTTGTCTAGATTTTACTAAACTCGCCTTGGTATAGAATGGACTTTCTAAACATTCATACCGAAATAGGAAAAAGTTACAGCAGGAAGAAGGAATTAACTCAAATAATTCATTTGATTTTCGAAAACAACGTTTGTTTAGCTTTCAGAGAAAATGCATATTCATTCAAAATATTGTAAAATCTGTGAAAAGTTGAGGTAGTGCGTATAGGGTCAATAGGGGAGTAAATCCCTCGAGGAAATTTAGAGAAGACTCTGTCAGCAGGGTAGTGACACGTGGTCTGAAATGGGAGGCAAAACATTACGCCCAAGTGGATTTGGTCCATTAATACTGCATGATGCAATTAATAAGTCACATGCTATTTAGGCCTTATTTATTTTCCTTAAAGTGCTACTACGATGAAAGTCGCTCAAACTTGGATTCAGCTGAAACTTCCTAAGAATACTCTTTAAAGGTCCAATAATCACTGTATGAAGTGTTTTCTTGATATTCAGTACGAAAGTATGATATTTTTACGATTATTTTTTGGAGTCTGTGACGTCATACACTCAACATCGAACATCTCTCCATACATTTCTTTGTAGTTTATGATCGAAATATCAGTAGTAAAGGCAGAAAGAAATACCCAAACACCCCAAAATATAAATTATAGTCACAAGTAATGTGAAATAAGCACATTAGCCACCCTTTGGGCTTCATAGGAATAAAATAAATTAAGGATTTATATACAAAGAAATATATGTAGCAATGTTTGATGTTGAGTGTATGACGTCACAGACTCCAAAAAATAATCGTAAAAATATCATAGTTTCGTCCTGAATATCGAGAAAACACTTCATACAGTGATTATTGGACCTTTAAAGAGTATTCTTAGGAAGTTTCAGCTGAATCCAAGTTTGAGGGATTTTCGTCGTAGTAGCACTTTAATGAATTGGTAAAACATATTAATACTTTCGTTAATGAGTAGAATAACATTCGAAATCAAATCTGATGTTCCATAGACATGATTGGCCCATTTTCGTTTGCAATTTTGAAGTGCCAATTCAATTAAGAGAACGCTATTGAAATCGGCAGTGCAGTAATATCTGCTATTGTTTGAGTTTACTGAGGTAATTTGAAATAAATTATCATGTGCAAGTATTCTAAAAGCCGATTCTTACCCGAAGGAGCCCGGGCATCGGATGAGTACTCTTCGATCAACCTTCGTACGGTTGATAATTACTGAAGGGGTGTCCCCCTAAAACCAATGTTGGCCGTACTGTGCTGGTCCTAGCCTGCGTCACATCCGGAATTTTCTTCGTAAATACGAAGAAAATTCCGGATGTGACGCAGGCTATGCTGGTCCCCTTTCAGCATAAATGACTAGGCCCTACATTTTTGCCTAAAATTTTACCTATAAATTTGTTTCTCCCTCCTTGACAGCCACCTTGACAACCGAACTCACAGAGAATTTAGCATAGAAATATCGAGATTTTCTATGATTCGAGCTCGAGTTCGAATTTGAGACCGAGTTCAATAATGTAATAATAATAATAATAAAAATAAAAATAATAATGATAATAATAANAATAAAAATAAAAATAATAATGATAATAATAATAATAATAATAATAATAATAATAATAATGATAATAATAATAATAATAATAATTTTAGATTCATATGGTAATTAGATACAACCACTAGTGCTGTATCAGAACAGTATACATGAACTAGTGGTTGTATCTAAATGGCATTTTCAGTGGAACTTTTGTATTACGTGATATTTATGTGACCTGATTTCTGAAATTAGACTTGCCCGAATCCTCATTAATTATTCACGAATTTTACAACATTATTTAGTTATCGGATATTAGTATATACCAACGCGTGTACATACATGGCGTGTTCTCGTTGGCTCGCTATATCTCGAAATATTTAAAGTGCCCCTACTGCCTGAGATCAATACTTTTAGTATTGATTCTACATAAAGTGAATAGTTGAATGGTGAAATATTTCTGTGACGTCAACTGGATATTCCTTACCTTCACAGACTAAATGTCACGACCAGCCTTGTGCAAACAATGGTATGTGTGTTCCCAACTACAAGACCAACACATACTCGTGTCAGTGCCAGTGTCCACATTACGGCTACAACTGTGAAAAAGGCGAGTAAATAACATTATTGTGCCTATCTGGTAATCACAAAGGTAATCCTGTAACATTGGAGGTCATTTTCAGCAATATTTTTTTTGTAAATACGAGCGTGACATGCAAAGGATTTACTCGGTGACATCAAAGAAAACCCAAATTCTTTGTAGAATTCTGCTTTGTCACGCTTATCAGTAAAGTGACGTCTCTACTACTGGGTAGGAAAACATTTAAAGCTAACAAAAATACAGTACATTGTCGTCCATCATTTTTTCATATTTCTTTTCCAAATTTCAACATGTAAAAGCCCCTCCACTTGTGCAGAGGACGGTTTATGAGATGCGCGAACGCTGTCAATAGCCAAGTATGCGTGTTCAGATTCGATAACATTTTTGGGCAACATCTTACGCGCGCGCGCTATGTAAAACACATACAGAAACTTTGAAATTAGTATAGTAATCATACGGTTTCTTGTTCATTTTGATATAATTCGCACTCGTGTGTTTTAAAGAGCTAAAATTGCACTCGACTTACGGTCTAATAATATACATATCTTCATTCACGTGTCTTCATGACTTCAGCCATGGTGCATGTGGCGGCCTGCGTCAAACAGTCAAAACATTCAAAAGTGACGAAAACCTATCCATGTTCAGCGAGCCGTAATTTTTCAAAGCTTCTCATTCATTTTAATAAATAACTTATTAACCTCGTTTGCTCGGCCCGTACCGTAAGTTATGGATCCTCGTTTTTCCATTTTTTTATGACCCGCGCGCTACGCGCTTGGGCCATAAGGCAGTGGAAAAAACTCGGTCCATAACTTACGGTACGGACCTAATACGGTTAATAAGAGCTATTTATGGAGAGAAATATTGTAAAGTCCGTGCAAAATATGATAGTGCAACCCCCTACCCCCACCCCCCCAGATTTTGTGTGAAGTACATGCTTTAAATTTAGAAAACTAGCTAATCTGTTTCCTACTTTCATAATCTATTATTATATTAATTAGTTTCAGCCCAGACTTGGAGCTCGTGGTCTAACTGCAGTATTTACTATAGGTGTCCTGATTATGCGAGAAAACGTGTAAAGACGTACGCCCTTCCCGAGCCTCCCTTTGCTAAAGTTTGTCCTGATAATGTTGTTCTTGACAGCGAGATTCAAAACTGTACAACCGTCACGCCTACTGGTAAGAAGAAATGAATGAATGGATTTTTGGGCAGCATGGGTGGCGCTTCGCGGCTAACGCGTCGTCTTTCACTGCTGTGAGTCCAACGGGTCGGGTCGCTGCGATCGCCACATGTGAATTGAGTTTGTTTGATGTGTTGTTCTCTCCTATGCTACGAGGGTTTTCTCCGGGTTCTCTGGTTTCCTCCCTCCTTGAAAATCAACATGTGAGTTGAGTGTTGTGTGCATAGAACATTGAAGGTATTGGTAGTGCATGTAAGCGAAAAGTGTCCCCATTAGTACGAAAACGCTAGAACGACTAGACACTTTTTTTTTTTTTTTTTTTTTTTTTTTTTTTCGGGCAAGGAAGGAAAAATCCTCACCGCCTTTTCGCAAATTGTTAGAATTAGTGCTGGATAGGTTTATTAACTGCATTGAATGCCCAATGGATTAAACTGTGATTGGTCCGTGAGTGCGTGAGTTGGTGGGTAAGAGGAATGCAGTCATTCCAGCTCGTACTTATGCTGAGCATGCGTACGGGGTTGCCTGAGATGTCAAACCTTGATTAAGACTACATAATGTGGCAAACCAATTTAAAAATGCGGGGTTTTTTTTTCTGTTTTTCTCTTTACTCCCCTATAAAATGAAAAAGTTACTACCCAAGAGTCTTCGCGGCATTTCCCAAGAGGCCAATGTGAGCATATGATACACAGACCCCGTGTGTAGTCTCATCTATTGCATGTGACAGTTGTCAATGAATGTTAATAAATTACCAAAGTCTCAAGCACTGACTCTAAGTTTTGGCATTTTGTGAAGTCCATTTGTAAGGCATGTTTGAAAGTCCAATTTACTTATTTTGACATACGAAACGCAACACTGTTTCTTCGCCGAAATATTATTCTTTCTATTCCAAGAGAGCACAGTCTCAATTACTTTAGTATTAAGGGTAGAACAGGATGAAAAGTTAAGTAGTCTAGCTAGAAGGGTTATAACGAAAATACTCTTTTCTGTAAAACATTCCCGTGGTTATGCTTTGGCTAACATTGCAAGTTTGTTGAGTTTTAGGCCTGCTCATAATACTGCATGACAACCCAGTGAACCAGGGCCGTAACCAGAACTTTTACAGGGAGGGTGCACATGGAATAAAATCGGACCATTGATCGGTTTTTTTTTACCAACTCAGTGGCGTAACTAGGCAATAATTTGCAGAACCAAAAAAAAAAAAAAAAGGGATGATATCCCATAATTTTTGATACACTTTTATATATGTACAAACACAGGCGGACCAAGCTCTTGTCCTGTGTTGTTGTATTACAACTAGCGGGTCATTTGAACGTTGGTATATGAAATATTATCGGTCTTAATTTGCAACTCGTAAATGTTTGGCATTTCCATGAATAGAATTGCTTACCTTGATAACTTACTGTGTCCTTTGACTTCTGGTCGATTTTGGAGCCATTTGGGAGCGTTTTGACGGAGTTTTCGTATTTTTATGTTCCCCCTACTAAAAAAATCCATTTCTTGCTTGCAAGAATTATCCAAGTTCTTTTCTGTATAATTTATCCTGGTTTCCCAATTACATTTTGTGGCGGTAGATAAGATCACTACGTTGGTCCGCCTAAGTTTTGATTAACACAGATGGTGTATGTTGATTGACCATCAGATACCAATAGAGCATAACCATCTGTATATAAGTAATAAGTGATCTGTCGATTATTTTAGGACTAATGTTATAAAATTAACCAACGTATGGCTTATTGTCTAAATATTACAAAGACTGGAATCTTCATAAGAGGCGAGTTTTGAATACTTTTGTCGTTTAAGGAAGCATAAGATTCGTAAGTCTGGCAAGTTTGAACATATTTCAATGAAAATGATCCGAAATAAAGGCATAAAGTGTAAGAATTTACAAAGAATGTTTGGTTAGTAGGGACATGTGTCCCCATGTAACCATACATTCGTTGTGTAATTTTTTGACACTTTTTACGCCTATAATTTTGATTCTTTTTCAATTGAAACATGTTGAAACTCGCCAGACTTACACTTAATCTTGAGATGCTTTTTTTATAGCAACAATTTGCAAGATTTTATGTAACTTTTTGAACTATATATCTTTACCTCACTCACTTGTAACTATGTTGCATATTATTTTTGTGTGTGAATAAATTCGAACTTTAATTTGAACTTTCAGAATATGTATTTTTTTGGTCTTATCGTTAAACAGTAAAGTCTTGAAGAAGAATATATATACAGCTGCGTTTACACCGGTACCGGAAGCAATTCTACCGGTCAAAAATTTGGCCACGAAACCGGATCAATATGATAATGTAAGTGGTTTTCCAACTGATTATGCGCAAAGCGTACTGTTTACGGCTTGCCGTACGAAAAGTCATCCGGACAAGTCGTTTACACGGTACCGATCTTTTTCTTTATTTTAGTTTTTGTATTTTCGTGCAAGTCAAAAATTCAATGTCAATCTTTTAGGTCCCAAATTTGCACGGCTAGGCATACGAATTTTTGTTCGCGCGGAATGTGCAAAAACGTGCAAATTTTTGACCCGTTAAAAATTCATCCATAGTGTAGATGTTTAATGGGGTTTGGGTAGGAAAGAGGTTTTCATTATTATGAAAAGGTATACATTGTTGATGGTTTTTCATTTCAGGCATCCTCAACTCAGTTTGACGCGATATCAAAATAATAATAATAAATTTCGCATTTGAAATTATTCATCGTAATGAAACATGCGGCGTAGCAGGTCGTCGCTTAGCTCTTCAGGATTGAACGAAACTATATATTATGAAATCCCTTGAGTGGAGCCTTATCCGCCAGATAAATTTGAACGGGGTTGTACAGATGTTAGACTGCTGTTATTTGGCACACAGGCTTTTTTTCAGTCGTCAATTCCCTGTCAAGGTAGAAAACAATTTGAGGAGAAACTCGGCACGGTGAACCCTTTACTACAGTGTAGACTTGGGCTACAGCCGTTACAGCTATTTTTTATCTGACACATATCATATGTGTGTTATATAATATTCTGTCTTTCAAATTCTTTAGACAGGTATAGTAGATTTTCTACCAAACGAACAAAGTCTATACTAGCACTCTTGCTTGGAGATCTCTTCAATCTCTGAGGGTTTTGAGTGCGGTGTGTCTCAAAATATCTCTGTAAGCTTTGATTTTTGTGAATGGTTAAATTTAGATTTTAAGGCAATGATGTTCCAACCGAAGAGACTCCACTGGCTGCTGACTTTCTGTTTTTTCCTTGTTACCACCACAACCACGAAAGGTAATGTAGACTTATCCTGATCAGTAAAACGTTAGCATTAAAGTAATATATCGAAAAAAGATCGAAGACTTATATTTGAAATACATAGTTCACCATATCAAACAATGTGTTAAGAAATAGTCAACACTTTTGAAGAGCCACGCCCACAACTTTTGAGAGGCCTAAAATGGCCGAAAAATTTGAAATTTGAAATATTACAAATAGATATATTCGCATTATATTTTCATCATGTCCTGGAGTCCTTGCAAATATCATGTTTTTCACAGTTTTACATAAATTAACTTCTAAGAGTTATTGTCATTATTGTTCGTTGCATGTTTATATATTTAGATATACTATTTTACTGATTGTGGAAGAAAATATTCTTTTAATTAATTCTATCAACCTGTATTGCAGTCTATGAATGGTATATTTGCAATATGCAAAATAATTGTAAGCAAAAGTGAAATTTGGTATCATGGGAGTCTAGGTAAAATCTAGGGAATATGAAATTTTTCTGCATCATGAGGCTTATAGAATCTGAAATGAATATGAAATGTGCTGCATTCTGACGCTTATCAAATCTGAAGTGGAATTTGCTACATATTCCTATGGATGCTAAATGTAGTGCTAATATATTATTCGCCTCATATTTTCTCCCTATGGTAAACATGTAGCAAATGTGGTATTCACCATCTTCACAACCCATAGCAAATATAAAGTGAACATCATATTTGCACCGTCGCAAATATGAGCAATATAAGCAAATATACGAGAGTTGGTTAAAAACAACCGAATAGACCTATCCCGAATTCGCTTGACTGACCACGAAACAATGGTTTGAAGTCGAGACTGAACTTGATTCTTTTACTCATCAAGCTCAACCTCGACTTGAAACCATTGTTTCGTGCCCAGTCAAGCGAATTCAGGATAGGTCTATTGTTAAAGAAATGTAAAGCGGGAGCTCCGCTATCAAATCTAAATTTCCAATTTTTTTTCCACAGCCTAGTATATTAAACTTCATATATATTAACACATGCATTGGTTGCACATACATTATTCTAATCATTTGTACTTCCTTTTTTTAACCGCTAACAAAATCAAGCTTGACTGCGTAGCTTGCGAATTTTTGTCGGCTGAAGTTGCACATTTATACACAGTAAAGTCAGATTTTCAATCAGTACAAAACCCAACAAAAACACGATTTCTGACTCGACAAATGTTAGCAAAAAAGTGTTCCTCAACTATCAAATTAAAACTGTTATGACCTATTTGTCGGCAAAGTAAAATTCGAAGAGTTTCTAGCCATCATCTCATTATAGATTCAGTAACCTTAAGATCTTTACTAACTCGGCACTTGGGCTACCTGTGTTTGACATCACATTCTTCCCCTATTTCAGCAGACGGCTGCCCTAGTCCCTGTAAATGCTACTACTTCATGGGCTCGCATTATGTTACTGACTGCTCAAAAAAGGGATTGAAGGTGGTACCTAAATTTGAGAATACAACAGAAGTACTGTGAGTTTTATTCATTGAATACTTTTTATATAATAGACTTTCACGAGCGCGCGCTATGATTGGCTGAAAAGCTATGTTTCTCAGAGTATTAGATCATAGATATGATGTCAAAACACCATACTTAAAATGATCATGTCTGAAACCTTCGACAATACTTTCAGTACTGACTTTATATGTAAATAAGTAAATAGTTGAATGGTTAAGGGTAGACTGGGTTACTTGGTTGGGAAGGTTTACTAATATCTAAGTCTATAAGAATCTAAAGGAGAAGTGGATATAAGTTGCAAAAAAGGCAAAACGTTTATGCCATACTAATCAGTCCTCGAATAAATCAATCTGGAAGTCCAATTCCAATTCTGGTCCTGATTTTGGCATACGTAATTAGGCTGTCGCTGTTGCACAATCGCACGGGAGGTTTATAACTCACTTTGAAATTGAAATGCTTCATTTAAAACGTAAATACACGGCTAACATTTGATGAAGACCTCTTTTCGTAGCGAAACAAAGACTGACTCAATACCAGCTAAAGTCTCTATAATAACAATTCTTTTACCTCTGACCTTGATAAACCTGAAGCGTTTGATAAGTTCTTCTTTTCGACCTTCAACATAGACGACGATGATTTACCAACTACATCGACAATAGCTAACCAAGATTCTCTGTTAGACAAGATCATACTTTCAGAGCATGAAGTGCTAAAAGCTTTACAACATAGACGACGATGATGATTTACCAACTACATCGACAATAGCTAACCAAGATTCTCTGTTAGACAAGATCATACCTTCAGAGCATGAAGTGCTAAAAGCTTTACAGCGCATTGACCATCACAAAGCTCCTGGGCCGGATAAAATACCATCATTCATATTAAAAGAGTATGCTGAAGAGTTGAAGTATGCACTCTGCAAACTTTTCAACTTATCTCTTACTCTTGGACTATAGTTCTCAAAGAATGAAAAGTAAGGCACTTTGTTCCTTTCTTCAAGAAGGGCATTAAAGAGGATACCTAACTATCGTCCAATTTCATTATTGTGAGTGGTTTCTAAAGTTCTTGAACGTTGTGTGCTTAATCATGTTAAAGCTCATCTTGACTGATGACTCATTTAATGACTGTCGACATGGTTTTTTAGGCGGTCGTTCTACAGTACGTGACTCAACTACTTTCTTTTTATCATGATGTGGGCGAGACCTTGGACAAAGGAATGCAGACTGATATTACATACCTCGATTTAGCAAAAGCATTTGATAGTATTTCTCATAAAAGACTGATCTTCAAGTTATCTCATTATGGTATCTCCAATTCTGTTCTAAGTTGGTTTGTTAGCTATCTGAAAGATCGTAGCCAGTGTTGCATAGTACATGGTCCCGGGGGGGGAGGGGGGGGTACTATCACCCCAACTTGGGTAGGGGTGTGCCGCCAGAACCTCAAAACCCTGACCCTATCCCAGACCTAAAATTTTTATTTTACATACCCTACCCCAGACTAAAACTAAGAATTGTACACCCTATCCCAGACTAAAAGACGGAAAAGACGGTTATGCAATAGATTGCAATCAATATATTGCCTCAGGGCAGTATATTGGGACCAATACTCTTCCTTCTGTATGTAAATGATCTGCCCTACAAAGTCGACAACACAATGACTCTCTTTGCTGATGACTCAAAGTGTTCAAAAGCCATTACCAGCACAGAGGATTGTACATCTCTTTACGATCTAGACAATCTGCTCTCTTGGAGCCACGACTGGAATCTTCGCTTTAATCCTTCAAAATGTGAAGTGCTGACAGTAACTCGCAAAAAGAACCCTGTTGAATTTATCTATAGATTAGGCTCTGATAATTTAGCTAAGGTATCATCTCAACTAGACTTAGGTGTTACGGTTACTACTGACTTAAAATGGGATACACATATCAACAATACAATCGCAAAATGTTATCGTATGTTTGGACTTTTACGTCTCCTCAGCAGCCGTTCTTAGCGTCGGTCCGGCAAACGCTTCCCTCCTCACTAACTACATTCCATTCCCATTGTTCTGTAGTCGAAAAATCTTTTAACCAATAGAAATAGAGCTATTGTTCTGCAGCATGACTAATCACAATGTACGTTATATAAATAAAGTTTTTATTCTGCTCATTAAAGGGGTTTCCCGCGAAAATATTATACATGAAAATATACTGGTATATATATGGAAACTCCCCAAAAAATAGTAAATATTAATAAATGGGAAAGAATTTATATTTTTGGGAATTCGTCCGTTGATATTGAAGGTTTGCTCAAATCAATCGAAATAGACATATCAACATATTTCAACGCTTCGAGTTTATTTATTTGTAGTAAAATTTGTTACAAGCGATTACTAAAGCTTCAAAAGCTTCAAAATGAGTTAAAAAGCGTCAAGCAAACCTTGATAGAGGCATTCCCAAGAACACGAACTAAGAGACTGCGATCCGATCGTGAAGATCAGTGTAAGATCGATGCCTGAAGTTCCAACGAGTCAAAAGTCCCACCATCACCTATCGTGAAATCGCTTCGCCTTAGTGGATGTTGTAGTACTACCACTTATACTTCTTTAGCTATATATGTTCTTTGGTGGATCATCTAGCACCAATTTCAAGAACATTGAGAGTAGATGTTTTAAGTAGCCAGGAAGCTACATTTGTTCCTCCTTCAGTGTTATTGAACTTAACATCGACTTCCCATCCGTCTTCCCAGACCTGATGATGGTTCAAAAGTTAATTCAATGTCATCTGTTAAAATATCTGACTATGATTCGAAAACTGTAAGTAAGACTCTTCGCGTTGATAAGTATTTTTAAAAGCGTTAAATTATGTTTGTTGCTAACTATTTGCACTATGCTTCGTCGAACGATGGTATTTTGTTTACTAATAAACTCACGCGAAATTTTAGCCAATCAGGATCCAGCTCCCAGATCATAGTAGGTTAACTGTGATTAGCCAGAGAATGGGAATTGAATGTAGTGCTCGATTGAGCAGGCGTTAGTGGGGAGGGAAGCGTTTACCGGACCGACACTAATAACGGCTGCTGAGGAGACTAAGTCCAAGCAGTTTTGCTTCTAATACTAGAAGATCATTATAACATGTAAGATCTTATTTAGATTATTGAAGTGAATTGTGGGCCCCTCAGTCAATTGGAAATATTTCTAAAGCAGAGTCCATACATAGAAGGGCAACAATATATGTATTAAATTTGAAATATGAGGACCCATAATCCTACAGAGATAGATCACAAAAGTTAACTTTATTACCAATATCTTACCATGAAAGAAATCATTTTCTGTTTCAAATGTCGCTTAGGTCTTGTTAGTATTCCTGTTCATCAATACTTTCCTAGTAAGGCTCGCACTAAACTTTTCCAATAATCTAGCTACTTTCACCGATTACCTAAGCTTTGGAACAACTTGTCTGCTTCTTTACGTAACTGTAACTCACTTAAGAAGAGTTTTAAATTACACATTACTAACCACTACTTTAGAGTCTTGCTAATTTTTATGATGTAAATCGATTTAACACCTGGAAATCTATATGCATTAAATGCTGCTCTTCTCGTAACCTATTAACTTCTAATGCTTTCTGTTACTGATTGGTTTAATATTATTAATATTTTATTTTATTATTATTTAGATCACCTTATTGTCTGCAGATATAAATTTCTTATATTTTACATTATTATTATATATTATATTCCACATTGTACTTTTTATCATTTAATATTTTAAATTTATTAATTTATAGAAAACACTTTGTTTGGAGCCCAGTTCTATTGTGTTTTCCTCCCCCAAATATTTTTTTAAAGTCTACTTTGTAATAGTTATTTTGGGGTGAAAGTTTATTAAATCAAATTAACCAATCCATACAAATATTTCTCATTTTTCTTTTACATAAATTGGGCTGCCTGTGTTTGTATTAGCCAGCTGAAATTGTAATAATGTATAATGATAAACTGACATATTTTCTCCATCCTTATTTCAGATTTATGGGGCATAATCAGCTGAAAAAGTTACCAGTTGGAATTTTTGATAATAACAGAAACCTTGTACATTTGTAAGAAAAGTGATCGTGTAATGTTGGTTGGGATTTACCGTAGTTATGTTAAAATTAACTGTCATTGACCAGCTTTCCCCCCTTATATTTAAGAACATTAACTGACAACCAAATAACGTCACTACCTGCTGGAATCTTCGATAACAACAAGAAACTCTTTATCATGTAAGTGTGACAAATATACAGCGCCGGCGCTTTTTTCGGAGAGGAGGGGTAGTTTATGTGAAGAGCCGCTCCAGAGCCGTTAATGAATCACGGCTGTCTTGAGAGCGTTCTTACTCAGCAGGCCTGAAAAGACTAGACTTTTTTCGGCAACCACAGATCAAACCGTCAGTCACGGGAGAGGAAAACAATCCCAAGATCGCAAATAACGATCCTATTTTGCATCCGCACAGAAGGCAGATGCAAAATAGAAAGGGAGATAGCGCCACTGAAAGTCGAAGAAATGCGTCACACACAACCGGCGGATGAAGGACTTTCTACACTCACTCCAACCAAAACAAAATAGGAACCGTTCACGACGAGACCTAATAGTTAACGACGTCGAAATCATAAAGGAAGACAACGCGCCGCGCTTAACAGTGGCCACTCGGTAAAATGGAAGAAACGTATGTATCTAGAGGAAAGGGAACGACATGAGAGAGACCTATGTAAAACCTTGAAATATATATAATATATAAATTCATGCACTCCCAATAGGCAAAGGGAGCCCTATGGAAATAAAACTGAAAGGTTAAAATACAATCGGGTGGGGGAGATCTTCAATGAATTTTTTTCTTTAAATTCGAGATAATGATAATGTCCCCCATAATGGAAACCATGTAATTAAGAAATAAAATCGAAATACACTAAATCGTTTTCTTCTCACGAGTCTTTGTTTTCGACCTGACTACTCTACCACTTAGGAATTTTGTCATATGTACACAACCCACCACCAGCCACCACAAGGGCTGATTTTGTTCATGAAAAGTTCTTCGATCGACAAAATTTTCATAGCCGACATTTTGACGCTTTGAATTCCTGGTTAATTTTACTTGAAAAACTACAGATAATCCAGTACCGACAATACCAGGTTTAGTGAAATTTAACTTGGTTGTCTATTATTAAAATCCAAATCAGCACTATAAAATAGACTTGAAAACTGGTTTAAAAAAGGTAAGCAAAATATAAGAAAGCTTACTTTTACTTCTTTCATATAAAGTTGTTTAGTTATTTGATATGAAGAGTTTTAAGTTTATATAAACCGTATTTTTACCGCAACGAAAAAAAAGTATGCCTTTGTTTCACTTGAAAGAAAATTAGCTGAGGATTATTAACTTAATAAATTAGTCGAATTTCCGAAGCCCTGAACGACAAAACCAAATTAATGTGTCAGTTAAAAAAAGTATGCAGTCCCGTTGGTATCCTTATACTACAATATGCTAACGAATAATCGTTACTCTGGTTTTTTTTAGAAGTATGGCTGCTAATCAGCTTTCTTATTTACCTCTTGGGATATTTAATAATAACGCAAGACTCATTTCTCTGTAAGTTTTTGCTTAAATGTCATTTAGAATATTATTAAAAATGAGGTGTTACTTTCCAAAAGAAGGCGGAAAATGTTGGTAATCCGCATTTAAACTCAAAAGCGGCGTAAGAGGAGCCACTCCCTGCGTCATCAAACTAGAACAAACTATTGCCTTTATCTTTACCTTTATACTAACATTTAGCTTATTATATTATTATGGCAAGTTTTATTTGTCTGTATATATCATGTTTACATTGACCAGCGGACTAAGTCTAGGCTGGTTAAGTTCATCATTTTTTTCAATCCTTTCTTCAGTTGATGCATATTCATAGAACTTCTTGACTATATTAACGTTCTGGCTTAAAATCCATTTCTGGCATCGTTCTATAAGAAAGTTCACTTCCCTGTCTGTATTTGTAATTGTTCTTAGTTCTTTTCTTAGCTGTTCGTGATGTCCTGCAAGATTAGATTCGGTTGCACAAATTCAGTTCAAATTTGCATAACTTGCAACGTGGCGAATTTCATCAATTTTGGGTGTCAAGGATACGACATTTTAAAAATACAACGAAGTCACTAAGGCAAATGGTGATTCCTCTCTCTTTTCCAACGGTTTTAAGGCGATTCTCACGCAGTTGATCGGGTTGTGGTATCGTTGATGCGCCATACCTGTTTAGGAGCCCGTTCGAAACTGCGTTGCTCAACTCTGCCAATTTTATCATTATAATTATCATTGTCATTGTCATTGTCATTGTCATTGTCATTGTCATTGTCATT